AAACACGGTAAACACATAGTGAACTATGTCCGCAGTAACTTGGACCCATTACATCGAATTAATCTAAATCCAAAAATTTATGAAAAACTATTTAATAACAAACAAATCCATGGTGAATAACTGTGGATATATAGAGTCAAAATTGGTATTTCAATACGTCAAATTCCAGATACATTAGATACAGGTCTGAAATGGTCATTAATGTGTGAGAAGGTGTGCAGGTGAAGTGTGATATGATGTTGAAAGTATAGGAAGGTAGATAAAAAAATTAATAAAACAAAAATAATAATAATATGGGGAGCAAAGAGACTAGGCTAGACTGTTGTTTCACTATCCAATAAACATTTCCATAGATGCTTAGTGACCTCAGCTTTGAAAAGACTAGTAGACACAATCTGTCTTACCTGTAAAGGGAGTCCATTCCACAGTATATGGGTTCTGTAGAAAAATGATTTTGCCAGTGGGCTATTTGAGGTACATGTGGTGTGTGAATTCTGACTTAACTTAGGTAAAATTGATGACACAATAGACAGACTGTCGAGGTGGCAACGTCTTAGTCGAGAAGTGCCCTGATATAAAGAGAGATAGTAAGGCAGCGATACAGGAATTAAATAATTAAGAACTTTGTGGAAAAAAATAAGATCATTCAAGTCAAACTTTTGAGACAAAGGGAGAATGTCGACAAGCTTGCACTTTTTGACATATTGCTCAGGTGGATAACTGCGGCCCTCTTCAGACAGAATCCATTTAATAGCTCTCTTTTGGAGACTTTCTAATTTATCACTAAGTGATTTATTACAAGGGCGCCAGATTATGGAACAATTTTCGAATTGGCTACGAACCAGGGAGAGGTAAAGCGCCCGGCGACGTTTCTGATCAATGACAATATGGCCATTTCTTCTGACCAAACCAAGTTGTTGGCAGGCCTTAGTATAAATTCTGTCGCACTGACTATTCCAACTTAGCTTAGGAGTAACATCGACTCCAAGATCTTTTTCTAACTCTACATACACAAGAGGAGAGCCATCAAGATTATATGCGAATGGAGGAGATAAAGATGGTTTTCCTGAAACAATAAGCACTTTACATTTTGCTGGATGGAATCGCATTTTGTTTCTTAGTGCCCAGTCAGAGAGATAGTCTATATCCATTTGTAAATTAGTATTATCAGAAGATGAATGTATTTTACGCCAGATTTTTGTATCATCGGCATACAAAACAATATCAGTATTATCCGAAAGGCCAAGAGGAATATCATTGATAAACAATACAAAAAGTAAGGGACCAAGAATAGAGCCCTGGGGACACCAGAATTAACTGAGAGGGTAGATGACATCTCATTACCAATAACCACTCTTTGGTAACGGCCTTGAAGGTAATTGGTAAGAAATTTGAGAAGTGTACCATCAATGTTATATAAGGTCTTTAGCTTATGAAGAAGGATATCATGATTTACAGAATCAAATGCCTTAGCAAAATCAAAATACACAACATGCAATGATTGATCATGTTTTCGTTAAGAGACAATGCCAGGCTATCACAAAAGTCAACCATATTGGTTGTGCATGACTTGTGCTCTAGAAAACCATGCTGCCTGGGATCAAGAAGGGTACTTGTCAAAGAAAGCAGTTTACGTTTAACAATGCGCTCAAAAACTTTCATGACTAAACAAGTAAGGGATATTGGTCTATAGTTTTCAACCTCACTTTTCTTACCTTTCTTAAATATTGGGACAACATTTGCAAGTTTCCATTCTTGTGGAATGTAGCCGCTGTTGTAAGATCCACGAAAAATGCATGTTAGAGGGTAAGCTAAACCTACGGAACAATTTTTGAGAATTTTACCGTGTATGCCATCTGGTCCCTGGGCTTTATTTGAATTAATATTTGAAAGAAGCTTACGAACATCCCGATGATCGAAGTCAATATCAAAATCAACATCATTGACATAGGAGATGTCAGTGTCATAAAGTGAAGGATCCGAAAACTGGTTATAAAAGAAAGAATTGAAAAGTTCAGCTTGAGCTTTGGGTTTGAACCGAAGCTGTCCAGAATAACTAACACAATTAGGAATACGGCAGGAGTTAGATTTATACTTAATATGTGACCAAAACTTCTTAGTTATAAGCGCTGGATCATCACTATTGAAAAGATTGTCTCTTATTTTGGCTGATGAAAGCCTCTTAAAATCTTTACGGCTAGTAACAAACTTTATCTCATCAGAAATAGAACCAGAAATTTTAAATTTAGCTCTGAGTCTATCTTTTTTACGGCATGAAGAAAAAAGTTCACTATCGAACCACGGGGGTTGAAACTCTGATTTAATAGTTACTTTAGGAATATATGTATATCAACTAAATTCATAATGCAGTCTTTAACTAACTTCCAAGACGAATCAGGATCTAGGCATTCTAGGACTTGCCAATTAAACGAGCATAATTCACGATTAATCATGTCCCAGTTTGCTTTCTTATAATTATAGATTTTACGTTTAGGAGTTTTCTTGCGGGAAAAAGAGCTTTTAATTGAAAAAGTGACAGGAAAATGATCAGATTTGCACACGGAATGAGGATCACAGACATTCAAGTTATCGATTGTGTTATCATAATTACTGAGAAGAATGTCTAATGTATTACCACTTTTATGGGTGGGTGATGTGATCAACTGGGAGAGAGAAAGATCACTGAAAGAATCTATGAAGGATTGCTCAATAGGTACGGTACTGGATGAAGATAGCCAGTCTGTATGGGGGAGATTAAAATCACCAATAACATAGATTTTAGGGGGATTCTTTTTGGAAACTAGCTTGCGAATATAACTAACTATGACATCATGATTAGGTAACCCAAGAGTTCCTACTCTATAACAAGTACAGATTACAATACTCTCTTTGTTAGGAAAAGCAATTTTAACGGCAAGCATTTCTGCACCTAGGCTAACTGGTAGTCGGGTTGTAGTGGCATCGAGATCAGACCGAACAGCCAAAAGAACACCACCTCCATTTTCCCTAAACTTTTTAGGGTTATTAGGATCTTGAGGATGAGTCTTTCTCGTGCGGTCATTGCGGAAGATTGTTTTATTATAATATTATTTAATTATGTTATTTTGTTCTTATGTCGTGTAAGTTTGTGGAGTAGTAGCAAGAAGGTATCGTATACATTTAAATTTGTTCTCTTGATTATTTACTAATGATTTCATGTAGGGTCGGCACCAATGTAATTATGGTCTTACCACCGTGTTTTGGTTCAGCCGAAATAAATTTTACTTTGATGTTTTTACATATTGTTTCTCACTCCAGCTGAGTCTGGTAGTGTTGAGTATCATGAATATTTTTCTAGCTCTCTTTTTCTATGTTTTTGCTTCACAGGAGATATTGTGGTCTTTTTTATTGAATATAACTGTAATACATTGATGTAAAGTTTATTTGAATTTTGAAATAAAAATAAAAATTAAGGAATAAATAACGCACCAAGTCACATGACATGTACTTGTTGGGTGAGGGTCCATTGATTTTACTTAACACGTCATTTTCCCGCACGTTCCACTTTTTTGAAGCAAACCACAAATTGCATCAAGTTGAGTAAATACTAGTCAATGTAAAGTTAAGTAAAGTAAAATTTATTTGTATCACGCGGTGACCCCCACTGTCGCTTCACTACAGTAGTAGAGTTTCTACGATACAGGGGGAGCCGCGCACTCGTGCGCGGCGGGTCATACAACGTATGACAAAAATTTATGACATCAAATCATCACACATGTCTACAAAATATCATCGCACTATGTGAAAAAATATATTATAAATATTTTCCACCAACATTAATTATTTATCGAATACAATATATTTTTAAATATATTTTTAAATATATTTTTAAATATATTTTTAAATATATTTTTAAATATATTTTTAAATATATTTTTAAATATATTTTTAAATATATTTTTAAATATATTTTTAAATATATTTTTAAATATATTTTTAAATATATTTTTAAATATATTTTTAAATATATTAAAAAAAATCAAAAGCATTATCCTATTTTTAAAAACTTCCAAGTGTAATAAAGATTTATAAAACGCTTCTTTGCCACATAAGGATGTTTCTCTTTATTACTGACATAAGTGGCTCCATCAATTCTTACTAAAACTTCGTTAGAAACATTCCATTACAAGAATCTGCCAGTTCTAAACATCCCCGATCCTTAATCAGTATAACCACATGTTACTTTAAAAGCTTCTACGAGGTCCCCAAGTATTCGCTAAGTTAAAATAATAATAGATCGTGATGGAAAGTGTGATTTATACCAAACTTGCACATGAATTCTTTGAAACATGTGTTAGCGAAGATTTTTCAAACTGATGGATGCCAAAATGTTACAACTAAACTACTTTTTTTTCTTTCTGCCAATAGGACAAAACAAGGTTAGGTATTAGTGCCAGTATATGGAAGTAGTATATGGAACCCATTGGAGAGGCCGATGTGGATTTTAAATATAGAAGTATCCGCAAGCTCCTTCAATAAAGCTTTCTCCAATGAGTATGCACACTATCCAGATAAGAGGCAGAAAAATACAAAAGTGAAACAACATTTAAATGCTAGCCTTTGTTCATCAAAGATCAATGATTGTTGAAATTGAACACAAAAACTTTACACCAATTGTTCTATTATCAACAGGTGTAATAGGAAAAGTTGTTCAGAAAGTCTGGTCAAATCTGTGTCTGGTCAGAGACATAGTGAGACAACTGGCAATGAAATTTATCCGAAAGAGAGTAAGATTTGACTTATTGAGAACAATGGTCATTGCCCTTAGATTTGATTTGATTTGAATCTCAGAGGGGAAATAGGACCGAAAAGTGGTAGTGCTGTTTCTTGCGTAAGGAACCATAAGATGGATTTTAATTGAAATTCGTGAGTGAGTTAGAACGTTGTTTATCTGGACTTTTTTTGTAGATTTCAAATGTTGTACCTTTTAATGCTTCAAAGATTAACCATATACTTTTACAAGGAATGTAATTGGAAATTTCTGACGAAACTTCCATAAAATATTGGAAAAATGCTGTGTTAATAAGTGGTTTTCTGTACAAGTTTTCTCAGTCTTTATTCTAGAAGTTTCTCTGGTTAATGAGTGATCTTCCATACAAACTTTCTCACTCTCAGTCCTCATTTTTAGGAGCTTCCCTTACTAAACCGATAAACTGTCTTTTCAGGTATGTACTCAGTACTGCATATTAATGTTTTGACTCTTTTAATTATATCACATCTTTTGGCCATTCTGCCCGATTTGGTGTCATTAACATAATTCTAATTCAGATAATTCTAATTCAGGGCACTATGGGTGTTAGAAAGCATGTGGGTAGTAGTTGTTCCAGCGCTATGCGCTTTAAGTAGCATCACTGTGTACAAACAAACAAAGTCTCCATTTTGCTCTGTCATGTCTTCAAGTAAGTTTCGAGTTTGATGTGGATGATCAGATTTAAATACGTTAATTTAGAGTTTTTGCTACATATTTTCCTCCCTGAAGTAGAAGTAAACGTCGGTCTCTTCTTGTATAGAACTGTACATTCAGTATCAAAATATATTTTTATTGATGTTTTGCTAATCAGAACAACTTCAGTTGCATGTGGAGTGATCTGGCTGACAACAAGATATTTCATTCTTGGCAGAGTCCCAACGTTATTATCTCCCCCATTCAAAGAGTGCCTGTCAGTAGTGCGTGTGCTCCTTCATAGAATAAACTCTAAACTTATCAAAAAGTATGGTCACAGATATCCCCTTATTGTTAACCTTGGTGGGTCGCCTACTTATTCAGTTAAGATATTCAATTCTTTGTAAATTTCTATACTAATTATAATTTTCTATACTGATTATAAACATTACATATAATTTTTATTTGTCTCCTTATTATTGACATATGTTGAGAAGCAGTTAAACAATTGAACTGCAATGAATGGCAACATTAAAACTCTGTTACATTGCTTCCTCAATAAATAACAGATTTGTGTTGTAATCTTACTATATAATATAAAGCGAGACGATATATATATTTATCCGTGCCATTCTACTGACACCACGGCATCAACTTTAACGCGAACTTCCGCAAAAACCGTAAAAGATATACAACTGAAACTTTTTTGACTGGGTCAAATGCTTTAATGGCCTTCAAATCAGCATGAAAAAATAAAAGATTGGCCAAGAAATAGGAGTTTTAGAGCCCAAAATTTGGTACCCCAAGTGGTGTCAAAAGCGCGAATTAAATAGGTAATAAGTATTTTAGTCTCTTGAGTCTTGACACCATTTTAGGGTTATACGGGTTCCTGCTAGTCGGTTTAAAACATATACAGGGTGTCCCTTTTCTTATTCTACATCGATGTGTAAAGATAATTCCCTAACTTAGAATTTCACCTTTCAGGACTACTGACCAGATTCACCATGACTCGCAGTTTCCACCAAGTGACTGAGAAAGTTATTGACAGAAAATTAGCTGAAAAGCTATCGAGATACATGGACTTTGCTGCTGCATCTTATGGTAATGATGATGTATACTGTGTTTCAAAACATCAAGAACAAACCAACTAACCGCCAATAAACCATATATAATCAGATAATCTGGTTCTAAACAATCTACTGCTTTAGTATCAAATTATCAAGATGAAAGCAACCTTCTAGCCTTCCGCTCTACCATTCCTTGTTTCAGGAGTATTATTTTATCCAAGCCATGCCAAGTCTTCCTTCAAAAGTTTCTTCAACTCTGACAGCATCGAGTCCTACAGTATTGGAGCACTAACCAACAAAGTATCCGTCAATGTTATCTCCCAAATGACGGGAGTTTCTCCTGAAAGTATTGTAGTGGTAAGTTTAATTGTGTTAAGGGAACTTTCTGAAGCATTTAGTTGACCACAGGAATTTACTTTATTTGTACTCTTTCTAGCACTCAACCGGGAGGGGCTTCATATTTAACGTTGTATCTTTGTAGGGTCAGACAAAGTAACCAATTATAGATACTATTATTTCCATTGCCTGAAGTGGTTTGTAAATAGGCCATTGTTAGCCCAAAGTGTTTTGGTCCCTCATTCCTACCACTCAGCATTGCCCACTGCAAAGTATAATTATTTCTAAAAATATACATAAAATCAGCCTCTTAATAATACAAATAATCATACCAGAGAAAATCCTTTTTTTCAAATCTTATTTCTAGCTTATGATTGTAAACAAGGAGTTTACTTACTTTATTTTACTTCAACAATATACACAACCATCTTAAAACCTCTCTACCCTCCAGACACAGTTAATATACACAACCATCTTAAAACCTCTTTACCCTCCAGACACAGTTAATATACACAACCATCTTAAAACCTCTCTACCCTCCAGACACAGTTAATATACACAACCATCTTAAAACCTCTTTACCCTCCAGACACAGTTAATATACACAACCATCTTAAAACTTCTCTACCCTCCACACGCAGTTAATATACACAACCATCTTAAAACCTCTCTACCCTCCAGACACAGTTAATATACATAACCATCTTAAAACCTCCCTACCCTCCAGACACAGTTAATATTCACAACCATCTTAAAACCTCTTTACCCTCCAGACACAGTTAATATACACAACCATCTTAAAACTTCTCTACCCTCCACACGCAGTTAATATACACAACCATCTTAAAACCTCTCTACCCTCCAGACACAGTTAATATACACAACCATCTTAAAACCTCTCTACCCTCCAGACACAGTTAATATACACAACCATCTTAAAACTTCTCTACTCTCCAGACACAGTTAATATACACAACCATCTTAAAACTTCTCTACTCTCCAGACACAGTTAATATACACAACCATCTTAAAACCTCTCTACCCTCCAGACACAGTTAATAGGAGAAAGTCCTCTAAAGCCAGGCTACTACATCTGTATAGACGACGAGACAAGATCAGTTGTTCTGGTGATACGAGGTACTCTGACTCTGTCAGATGCGTTTACTGATATTGCGTGTCTGAGTAAGGAGTTTGCTGGTGGGTGGGCTCACCATGGCATCAGGTTAGATAATGTTTAGCTGTCATATTGAAAAGGAACTACATGATTTACACGATTACACTATTGTGTTTGTTGGAAGTATGGGGTTATTTATTTTCGTTTTTGGCCAAATTTTCTCAAGGTTTATTTTACTCTGCACTGTAAGCTGTTAATAAGAGGGAAATTGTTTTAAGTCAGTTCCTTTAGTGTAGGTGCGGAGTCTATATTTAACACGTGACCATATCACTTTTGACACGTGACCATATCACTTTTGACACGTGACTATATGAGGTTTGACACGTGACTAGTCACTACTTTAGTGTAGGTGCGGAGTCTATATTTAACGAAACTAAAGGTCTGCTGGAGAGCATGCTCAGACAGACAGGATATGATCTGGTGCTCTGTGGACACAGCCTGGGCGCAGGTAAGAAGGTCTATATACTGTAACTACTGTAACTACTGTAACTACTGTAACTAATGTAACTACTGTAACTACTGTAACTATTGTAACTACTGTAACTAATGTAACTATTGTAACTACTGTAACTAATGTAACTATTGTAACTACTGTAACTACTGTAACTATTGTTACTACTGTAACTACTGTAACTACTGTAACTATTACTACTGTAACTACTGTAACTACTGTAACTACTGTAACTACTGTAACTAATGTAACTAATGTAACTAATGTAACTAATGTAACTACTGTAACTAATGTAACTACTGTAGCTACTGTAACATTGATCATGGGATTATAACAATATTTATTGATATTTGTGAGAACAGTGATGACATATCAGTCATATCTATTATCTAATTATTCATTATATTATTGTATATATTATGTATTATATTATTGTATATTATCTAAAATGTATTATTATATTGTAAATTGTTAATTCTCAGGAACTGCTGTGTTGTTAACATTACACATACTATCTAAGAAAGAGACATTGGGCGAGTCCCCCCTATCAAAGTGCAAGGTTACTTGTTACGCTTATGCTCCACCGCCCGTCTTCAACTATTACGGTTTGTAATCTAACAGAATATATATATAATATATATAACATATATTGATTGGTATTGTTGTTGTTCAGTTTACACATCATTGGGCAGAGACAACAGAAATTGTCCATTTTCTAATCAATACCGATCTTTCCAGCAAATTAATCAGTGGTAATAACTGAAAATCAGGTTTTGCGATAGATTCTTGTATTGTGACCACCAGATTTCCAGTAATTATAACACACATAACACACATAACACCACACACATAACACAGATAACACACATAACACACCACACATAACACACATAACACACATAACACACCACACATAACACACATAACACACATAACACACATAACACACATAACACACATAACACACCACACATAACACACATAACACACATAACACACATAACACACCACACATAACACACATAACACACATAACACACCACACATAACACACATAACACACATAACACACATAACACACATACCACACATAACACACATAACACACATAACACACCACACATAACACACATAACACACATACCACACATAACACACATAACACACATAACACACATAACACACATAACACACATAACACACATAACACACATAACACACATAACACACATAACACACCACACATAACACCACACATGCAGTTTTTGACTGATTTGAATGTCCTGTACAGCAGATTGAAGCTTCTTTGAATTATTTTTTATTCGTATCGCATTGCTGTGTAAATTTTATCCTAATCCTAATAACACTCATAACTTAGGTTCAGAACGCGATAATAAATGAAGCGACCACGTGGTGTGACGTCACACCACGTGTCATGACGTCACACCACGTGCCTGCTAATCCTAATAACACTCATAACTTAGGTTCAGAACGTGATAATAAATGGAGCGACCACGTGGTGTGACGTCACACCACGTGCCATGACGTCACACCACGTGCCTGCTAATCCTAATAACACTCATAACTTAGGTTCAGAACGCGATAATAAATGGAGCGACCACGTGGTGTGACGTCACACCACGTGTCATGACGTCACACCACGTGCCTGCTAATCCTAATAACACTCATAACTTAGGTTCAGAACGTGATAATAAATGGAGCGACCACGTGGTGTGACGTCACACCACGTGCCATGACGTCACACCACGTGCCTGCTAATCCTAATAACACTCATAACTTAGGCTCAGAACGTGATAATAAATGGAGCGACCACGTGGTGTGACGTCACACCACGTGCCATGACGTCACACCACGTGCCTGCTAATCCTAATAACACTCATAACTTAGGTTCAGAACGTGATAATAAATGGAGCGACCACGTGGTGTGACGTCACACCACGTGTCATGACGTCACACCACGTGCCTGCTAATCCTAATAACACTCATAACTTAGGTTCAGAACGCGATAATAAATGGAGCGACCACGTGGTGACAGTGATTAACGGGATGGATATTATACCAAGAGCTTCACTAGCAAATATGTTCTGTCTTGTTATGCAGGTGAAATTATTATTACATTATACATAATTATTATCATACTTTTATCATTATTGGGTGTAAACACACATGTTATCGTTGTTAAATTGTTTATTGAATTAGGTTTTACTAAGTAGTTCGTGATTTTAGGTAATTAGAATACCATCTCATGTTTCACATGATTAGTATTAACGGTGGTGTATTGGGCCATACTACGAGCGAACTGTACGGCTTCTGACATCTATAATCCTTTCTTAAAATTACAATATACTTATTATGGCACATGAGTACTATTAAAGTACTAAAATATGCAACATGACAAGAGTTATGGTAAGAGAAAATGCCATGACATTATGTACTAGAAAGAACTTTGTGAATATTTAGTAACAATATAAATTTACACAATATAATACACTCTCACAGTTACCGTTACTGTAACATTTGCAGTTTAAAATTTAACTTTATTTATTTACATAATTAATTTAGTTACCTCGCAGTTACAATACATAGAGATGTTACCTCTATCATTCTGGGAACGATGCAGTCTGATTATAGACAAGAAAACTGAGCATTTGGAGAAACTCATGGTGGGAATGGAGGACTTTCTTAGAGATAGCATAGAAAATAGTGAAGAAGTTAGTATAGTTAGAGATAGCAGTATCTCATTATCTTTCTTAGAGATAGCATAGAAAATAGTGAAGAAGTTAGTATAGTTAGAGATAGCAGTATCTCATTATCTTTCTTAGAGATAGCATAGAAAATAGTGAAGAAGTTAGTATAGTTAGAGATAGCAGTATCTCATTATCTTTCTTAGAGATAGCATAGAAAACAGGATGCATCGGAATCAATTTTAGATTTAATTTATTCGTCCTATGACTTTGATTAGACACCACAGTTCACTTTCTCATTGTTTTTCTCATTGTTTTTTCTCATTGTTTTTCTCATTGTTTTTCTCATTGTTTTTCTCATTGTTTTTCTCATTTTCAGGTATTCCGCCCCCTTTTCCACGTGGGAAAAGTCCTCTGGGTTGACAAGGTCACAGTGTCCGATAAAACCATCTTAGAAGATGAGCCATCATGTTCAATATTAGACCAGATACCTAACGGCTTGGTTTGCAATGGTAACCCTGGTCATGCTGATGATGATTTCCACCAAGCTCCCTCGGAGAAAACATCCCCAAATTCACCCACAGATTCATCAGATGATAACAGTGAGAAATCACCTTCAGTGGCTAGACCTGTTGTATTGCAAGAGGAGCCTTTTGAGTGGCAAAGAACACATATTGGACATAGACTAATCGCTGATCATTGGCCTCATGAGTATCAAAAAACGCTGAAGTTATTCCTAGAGGCAGAGTCTTCACCTACATCGTGACGTCATCTCACACCACGTGACGTCATCATACATCACGTGACGTCATCATACATCACGTGACGTCATCAAATAGTTCGACCGCCCTTGCAGCATCTCTGCTGCCTCATTCATACTCCAGCTAGCAAATAATTTCCATTAGGAGATTAGAGCAGCTGTAATTGCTCGCAGATGTTGAGCTTAGTCAAATTAAATAGAAATTTATCTTTAGGCGATAATATTTTGATTTTCACGTGAATTTTGTTAAATTATAATATAGAGCTCTAGACAGGTAAATAAGTAATTTATTTTATAAGTAACCATTTTTACCTGAAATTTATTATTTGTAGAATTTATGTGTTTAGCATAATAGGTACCTACGTCCTACGCTTTTATTGGTCTGGATACTGGTGTGGAGGTGAACTATATTTTCACTGCCACGTGACTAGTCACGTGTCAAATCTCATATGGTCACGTGTCAAAAGTGATATGGTCACGTGTCAAACGTGATATAGTCACGTGTCAAAAGTGATATAGTTAGACCATCCCTCCAGTTCCAGATCTATTGCTAGAAATATTGTGACTGATTGTTAAGCCACTTTGGATTGTGTACGGTTGCTTTGGTTATTTCAAAGCTATATTTAAAGTTAGTTTAAATGTATGAAAAATTCTAGTATATGTGTACTTAATTTTCTTTGTTGCTATTCATAATTTATTACTCATGATTAATTGTAATTTTTTCCTTACATTTCATCCTATCACCGACTTTTATTGTGTTCAAATTTGTTGTATTTCTTATTTGCATACTGTGCTGGATCAGCTGAAAATACATTTAATATCACTTTGAAGTTTAAAGATGACGAACATGTTATTTTCTACCATTTATATACCTAAAATATTGTCAAGTTATTGGCTGTTATTTTGTATTTAAAAAACTTAAAGCTTAATGTTTTAAAAATTGCTTAAGATTGAATCTCTTCTCAAGAAAATAATTTCCGTTCAATTTTTCAGATGGTTCGTTTATGTATTTCGATATTGCTCATCCTGACAGTTTCTCCTTTGGTTGTCTCTACATCAGATCCAAACAATCAAAAAGAAGATTTTGGCTGGTTTTCAAAATTGGCAACTTATTTTTATGATAAGCTCCTGGCTTCTCTAAACTCCTATGACGAAGCAGTTGATGTGGGCAGAGCTCTTGTTGCTTCGACAGTTAAAACAACTGATTTGACATCAATAAACGATAGAATCAGAGGGTTTGAATTCGACAAATTTGATGAAGAGACCAACAATATTTTAAAAGAGGGCATGCCGATTAAGGAATTTGATGAATATTTTCGTGCTATAGCATTTGCTCATGGTCTTCCTGAGAAATTCATACTTGAAGTCACTTTAGGCAAAAGTTCCAATTTAAATCAGTCTAACCGAAAAGAGTTTCTTTTTGGCATTGAAAAGGACAGCACAGTGAAATACTGCATCGTTGCTACAGCAAAAAATGGAGAAAATAAAATCAATTTTGCAATGGCAATTTATAGCTTGAATTTCAAAATAGCGGACAGAGTCTTTCGCCATTCTGAGCAACAAACCTTGCTGGGATTTATCCCATGGGGAACCAGACATCACACCACCTACGAGCCTCGAAAACTGACAACCGATGATCAAGATATTTTCTTCAAGTTTTTGCAACAACGAGCAATTCATGGCTACATCGAGCAGTATCCTCATCTCGCCCTTCCGGATAAGTCTCATGATGAAATGTGATTTAATTTAAAAGCATGGTATTGATAGAAAAAACCTTAACCTGGTAACCTTGCTGCCTACACAAGAGCAATTCTAACTGCACATCCACATTTTTTGTGAACAAACTGATATGAATCCTATCTGCCCAAAATGTTATGCTACCCGCTGAACTTTTCTCAAAGCACGAAGCATCGTCTCCAGCAATAAACGGGATACTGTGTAGTACTGAAAACCTTTTTATCTTTAGTTTTATTTATTATTCAGCCGATATTTAAGCATCTGGGGAGTGTTAGAGCTTGTATATCGGCTGCAATTTGTCAGATTTGTCGTAGAGTAATTTTAAAAATACCATAGCTTTTATTCTTTGTAACAATATCTTAATAGCTTTTATCAGATAGATCATAGATGCTGGGGTTGTATAAATTTTTTACCTCTGCTGAAATTTGTTATATATTTTGTAAAATTTTTTGTTTTGAATTAAACTAAATGTTATTAATGAATACTGTTCGAGATTGTGAACTATAGTTATGGTATTTAAATACCAAAGCTTTTATTCTTTGTAACAATATCTTTATAGCTTTTATCAGATAGATCACAGAATATGCTGGGGTTGTATAAATTTTTTACCTCGGCTGAAATTTGTTATTTTTTGTAAAATTTTTTGTTTTGAATTAAATTGAATTTTATCAATGGATACTGTTCGAGGTTGTGAACCATATTTCGTCGACATCATTTTACCAACCAGCTCTCAACATTGGCGAATCGAAATAAATATTCTCTGTCACGTGTCAAAGCAAATATAGCTCACCATCTTCCATGTCTAATGTTTAAGATTGTGACTCCTAAGTCCTATGCCACTTTGGAGTTTACGCTTGAATTGGTTATATCAAAGCTTGTTATTTGTTACTTTTCATTGTATGGAAATCTTTATTGGTGTTAATATTAATAATTTAATTATTACAGCTCATCATATCACCGGATATTAATTCTTCTTTGCATACCATGTGGGTCAGTTTAGTTAGCACTTACAGTATAACTGCTTACTATAACACATCCTCAATTATTGCATTATTTATACCTTACTTTGAAGTTATGAAAATTATATGATTATATCGATAGTATTCCGTATAGTCCAGACTCGATAGAATAATTCTCATTCAATCTTTCAGATGGTTCGTCTGGTTCTAATATACCGTTACAATAATGACTTTAATATAATTACTCCACTAGATTTAATTCATAACATTTTTCAGATGGTTTGTCCATGTACCTCCTCACTGCTCGTACTATCTCTACTAGTTATCTGCTCAACTGAAGAGGAAGTAGTTGACGTTAGTAAAGCTCTCATTGACCCACCAACGGAGCCCTCCGATTTAAAAGTAATAAACGATGGAATAAAAGGAAGAACATTTGATGAAAAGAATGCTAATTATCTAAAAGAGGGAATGCTTGCGGAGGAGTTAGATGGATATGTCCGGAAGATTGCAAGCAACCACGGCTTTGCTGAACCCTTTATACTGGATATAATGGCAGGGAAAGATTCTAAAATGAGTAAAACTCAAGGAAAGGAGTTTGTTCGTCGAGTGGGAAAGTACAGTACTGTGAAATACTACACTGTGGCTACAGTTAAGAATAGTCCTGATACTATTGATATTGCTATAGCGGTATATGGCATGAACTTCGGTTTATCTGATAGAGTTTTTAGATATAAGAACGAAAAGGAGATTTTTGACAAGTTTCTGCGACTTAAAGCCATTGCTGGTTTCGTTGAGGAGTATCCTCATCTTGCTGAGGATGCGTCACGTGGTCCACACGATGAGATGTGATTGGTTGTCATAGTAACTATGGCAACTATGGTAACTATGGTAACCATGGTAACTATGGTAACTAACATCAACGAAGATGTTGTAAGTGGAGATTTTATTTTTAAATTTATCTAGATAATGTTAAAGCATCATTTATTATTATCAAGAAACCGGCTGTGGTTTATAAATTGTTTTCGCATAAAACCAGAAATTTAACAATTATTTCTGTAGTGGGATGATGATGTATAATACAGTTTTTATTTTTTGTACATTATAATTATACCTTAAACTAGAAAGATGATGGGGTTGTGTATACTTCTTTTTTTACATTATATATTTCGTATAATTTTAACGACAGACTTCCTTTTTTAAAAGTTGTTATTTCTTTGTTTAAAATTTTGAATGCTTTTGATAAGTTTCATTTTGTAAAACATTTACTATTTCTTATATTTATAGAAGTATAAATTTGTACCCATTATACAGGGTGGGCCAAAAGTCAGTACCCATACGTTGGCCTTAATAGCTCCGCCGTGTTTTATATTTGAGAGCTGTTGCTTTGCAGATGGCATACTGTATTTACTGGTTCGAGGATTCCGTCGTCAAAATTTGAAAATTCGAATATTTTAGACCACGCCCATTCAATATTAAAACACCTATATTGTTTTCTCTGAACATGCTGAACGCCTAATTTTTTTCAGAGACGGTAGATTATCAAATGTTGCATATATGATCTGAAAATATGAGGCAAAACGGATTAGAAATGACGAAGTTATCAAGCATTTTCTGTATCTCGTTAACAAAATTGACTGGGTGATTATGTGACACGACACCTTAATTGGGCACCCTTAACAATTCCCATAATGTTTAACGGGGTAGTTAACGGGGGACCTTATCACGTGATTAGGTAAACCAATCACCTGATCACACGTAATGAATAAACTCGTTATGCTTCATATCTCGGTCATCTGAGAAGCTACAGTTCTAATTCTTTCAGGACAAACGTAATTCGAATGGCCAAACACAATTCAATAACATTTAGCTTGATCCGACTATCTAAACTATCAAATAAATGTGAAAATGAACCTCCGTTTGAAAAAAATGAACGCGAATATTTTTCGAGTTGACAAATTCCTCGAACCAGTGGTGGTACTAAGTCATACCAGAAAGAAGTATTTAAATTGGGCACTCAGTGACTGAGCTATAAAGGCCAACGTATGGGTACTGACTTTTGGCCCACCCTGTATTATATATCAAAAATCATTCATATTTTATATTCATTAATGTGCAATGTTGAATTGTGTATCTACTTTTCTTCAAACAACTGTATCCAAAATTTAAAATTCAATATTGTCTTCATCATAATAAGAAATTCTTACAATAAAGAAAACCATATTCTACTATCTATATAAATCTTATAAATGACTTTTTTAATCCATTTTTTCGCAGATTGGAAATGAAAAATGAAGGGCTTATCACTGCTCTTCAACCTTCTAATATTGCTGTGGGTATGTAATTCTAATTCTGAATATTCCGAAAATAATGAAGACATTCAAGACGAAGAAAGCGGATTTTTCGGACTCAAAAATTTTGGAACAGCTAGAGAAATATTAGATCTAGTTCTAGACGTGGTAGGTGGACACATATGGACGAAAGTCGTCACCACTTAAAGCCTATTGTGGATGTGGCAAAACTACTAGTATCTACAGCTATAGACTCAGATGAAATAACTGTCAAAGATGTAACCGCTGCTACTGAAGCAGTGCACGGACAAGAATTTGATAAATTTGAAGAGAAACAAACCAATATGATCCTCACGGGTATTGCTCAGGATGAGTTCGAGGAGTATATGTCGTTAGTTGCCAGTGCTACAGGATTACCAGCCAGTTTTTTACAGGCGATTTCTCTCGGCAAAGGTACAGAGTCAAACGAATCACAGCAAAGCGAGTTTAAGTTTAATGTGGGCGACGTAACCAGTGGGTGGTACTGTATTGCTACTACCGCTAAAAGTGGGGACAACAAAATTGATTTAGCTGTGGCATTCTACAATCTTAACTTCAAGCTTGCTGATAGAATACGTCATCATTCTGAGGTTAAGCGGTTTCTTGGGCTCTTGGGGTAAAGCTGTGGACAAACAGGTGGACATCATCTGAACCACGTAAACTTAACAGTGGGGATCAGGAGCACTTCACTAAATATCTACAATTCAAGGCGGTTTCTGGTTTTGTGAAAAAGTATCCAAATTATCAACAGCTGACACAGTCTTCTGATGATGGTGAACACTGATGATTAAAATGGGTCGAAACGGTGTAAGCAGGACGTAGGTTGCGGTTATTCCCCATTTATGAAGACTGGCGTATTTTAGTACTTTTTAAGTTGATTTTAATCTTTATAGTTTCTTGTATGAATTGATGTTTTTAAGTGGGCATTATTTTATCTTTAATTTGAGTTTCTAAGATTTCTTTTTAGTGTTTATTTCTACATAAATTGTTTAAGATAATTTGTATTTATGTGAACAATAGTTTCCTATCCCATGTTTATTGTCACTTGAGAAATAATTGATTAATTTAGTGAAATTAATTAAATAAACCTTACTATTAGAATTATGTCGTAAATCCCTACTTACACGCTCGTACAAATAGCTGTTCAGTAAGCTATTTAATTTATTGTCACTCAGCCAAGTTTCAAGTAATTATTACAAGTTTCATTTCGTTAGTGATTGAGTTGCAGACAGTTTACAATCACAACTACCAGTACCACTTACCAGTGACACTTCCACAGAAATATTATCGACAGCTTCATTTACTAGAGAACAGGATTGACGCATAACTTTAAGACAGTTTGATAAGTTATTGACGTTGAATTTAAACATATTATTATTATAACATTCTGGTATTGCTACTATTTTATAGTGCTATATAGACCAAAAATTTGTATTATATTAATTAAGTATATTAACTATATATTATATATTACTAGTCTGTTAACCAGTATTTAAATATATTATCATAACATTCTGGTATTGCTACTATTTCATAGTGCTATAATTAGTCTTTACAGTACTTGACGTGTTCCCATGTAATTAAGAAGGCTATTTTCAAAGGATATATAAGATGACGACAACAGCCTAAAATTATAATGATACTCTAACTATTTTTGTTTTAATACTTTCAACACTATTATTAAATATATAACAAAATATTTCGTTTATTCAAAGTTGTCGTTTCAATAGCAATTACAGAGGAAAATTAGAATGTTACTAGTTGATACTCAAATTTTTTGATAGATATTACGTAGTGTTATTATATAATAGCGTTGAAAAGTTTCAAAAGTTCAATGCTTCCATATATTATGAGGCTTATTAGATCCACTGATGGAATATGGAAAAAGACCAACAATTTGTATTATATTATGTTTCTTATAAATTTCACCTCTACGTTCTATTCATCTTTGCATTTTTTTTAATCGATATTGTTATTATCCTTAAAGTTCAATTTCATGACATGTGAGTTTACACTTCTCTTTTATTGTATTTTCATTGCCAGTAATTTTGTGAGCACTTATCATAACAATTAGGCTATCTCAGAGCTACGAGTTAGGGATCGTTCACATATAATATGTGAAAAATTAATTGAAATTTTGTTAACCATTGATTTGCTCCAAGGAATGATTAGTTGCTATCGTACCCTTCTCATTATTCTGCTCCTCATCGTGGTTTGTGCATCTAAATCGAGAAAACAAAAAAAAGGCCAATTTGATAATCATGAGGAGGAAACTGGATATATGAGTCAATTGAAAACGTTCGTCAAACGTCTTGTAGATATTGGTATTGATCAAATTTGGAATTTCAGTTTTTTTCCTGTTGTTGATGTTGCCAAGGCCTTGGTAGACGGTTTCGACACAGAGACAATAGTTACCGATCTAACCCAAGCAAAAGAGGCAATGAATGGAATGGAGTTTGAAATGTACAATGAAAATCATGGTAATCGGGTTTTGAAAGGAATTCCGTTGGATAAATTTGAGATCGTAATGAGAACAATCGCTGCATCAAACAAGCTTCCCGGCACATTTATCGATGAGATTCTCCTTGGAATACATATCGACGCTTACGAATCAGATAAGAATGAGTTTGTCTTTAATGTTGGAGAGGAAAGCAATGTTTGGTATTGGGTTGTTACTACAAAAAAGGTCGGGTCCGATAAAATAGATATTGCTCTGGCATTTTACAATCTCAAATTCAAAATGGCTGACCGAGAATTACACCACAGTGAAGACCAAACTTTTCTAGGATTCCGTCTTTGGACAAAGGAATGGACAACATCGGAACCAAGAAAGCTAAACTCCAATGATCAAAACCTTTTTGTGAATTTCCTTCGAGCCAAGGCAATTACAGGTTTCATCAAAGATCACCATTATATTGCCAGTGATCATCAACATACAGAAGAACTTTAGGCATGAATCTAATGGACATTTTTGTTTCCTATTTTGAACAATTTTTGGTCTACATTAGCTACTTTTATAAAGTTATATCTTAAGAGATTCTTTTATGTCTTCCTACTACCATCTCATCGGCTCAATCTATGGGATCTTCAAAAGCTCTTCTAAAAAATGTAAAAAAAACTTTCCTGTTTAAACTGTCCCTTCACGAACTTCAGAAACAATGATTTTTGTAAAGTGTTTGTTTGTTTAATTTATAGTTTATTTGTTAAATTAGATACCTACGTTACTTTTTAGTACTGATTTTTTGCATGAACTGTATTTTCTAATTAATTTTTCTTTCTATCATCAGATTTAATTTATTTATAACTATTCTTTATGTTAGAATTCTTTTATTCATTCAGAAATAACAGACTTTTAATGTTCTATTATGATCAGTTATAAACAGAAAATTAAAATATTAGACCAAAATCTTTATCCATAAAAGAGCTCTTTATACCATAATAATTAATATCACATAATATTTAATAGTCCACTAAAATTACTCCGTTTACATATGTAAATAAAGCAATCTTACAAAACAAATGGTCCTAAGCTCAAGTCTAACCCCTCACTATCTAAGGTAGTTGTTAATGTATATAGCAAGTTGGACGGGTTCTCGACACTGCGTCGCAGGGGTCCGTTGCCTGTAGCAACCACAACACCCTCCCTCACCAGTTCTCCCCCACACCATGTCATAACACGTGAGATGACGTGTCGAGAGAGAACTTTAGAGTACCGCAGTATTGTCCAGGCGCGACAGTCGCGCATAGCTGGAGCCTACGTTAAGCAGAACAATGCGGTGGTTGCAGCGCCTCCCACTCGGAGTCAGTTTAATAAAGTAGCAGGGACTATTGGTCGTAACATTGCTAATACGTGTGAAAAGCTGGAGAAGCTAGCCATGTTGGTCAGTAATAAGTCACTGTTTGAGGACCGGAGCACGGAGATAAACCAACTTACTGAGATTATCAACGAGGATTTGTCAGGTGAATTTGGGGAATTTTATTTTAAGCTGATTTTTTATTATATTTAAGGGTTTTATTTTATACCCTTGTTTTTACAAATTTCTACCGTTTTTATTGCAATTGTTGTATCGGTTTTGTTATTTTGGGGGTGTCCAACCTTACAGCTGGACAATGACCATTGCTTATGTTCAGTACACATTGTTTGAAAATTAATAATTTATCAGGATTGGACAGGATGATCAGTGAGTTACAAGCGTTTTCTAAGAACAGTGCAGTGCAAGTTAACCTACAGGTCTCTCAACATTCTAACTCTGTTGTAGTTTCGTTGCAGAGTCAGCTGGCTCATATAACCATGGACTTTAAGGAGGTGTTGGTTAGTCGGACTGAGAGCATTAAGGAACAGAAACAGAGGAGAGATCAGTTCAGGTTAGTAAGTTAATTAGTTAATTAGGTTAATTAGTTAATTAAAGGAGCAGAAACAGAGGAGAGATCAGTTCAGGTTAGTTAGTTAATTAGTTAATTAGGTTAATTAGTTAATTAAAGGAGCAGAAACAGAGGAGAGATCAGTTCAGGTTAGCTAGTTTGTTGAGTTATCTGATTAATTAAATTAAATTATTTAATTCAGGTTAGTTAGTTGGTTATTAAACAGATTCCCACGATATGCCAATTTGATAAAATGAAATACCCATATTTTTGAAAGTTAATGCACATTAAAGTGAAGCAGCTTGCAAGCAATCGAATCCTGTCAAAGAAAAGACAGCTTATCAAAAAATGAAAATGAACACAATGATTTTATAATAATAATCTGGAATTTTCACCTCTTATATCTCCTCGCAGTTCGGGTTCGATATCGAGCGCGTACCCAGGAGATGGGTTCCCAGAACAGAGTCTGTTGCTCCAATCAGAGCAGGGCAATAGCTCACGTGACACCATGTTAGATTTTAGTGGTATGGATCAGAATCAGCAGCTATCTCTTATTGATAATCAGGACACTTATCTTCAGGTAATTGGATTAATTAATTAATTGATTCAATATTATTACAGTTAGGTAAGACTTGAGGGAGTCTACCTTTCCTGTTGCTTTGTAGTTCCGTTTTATATTGTAAGTTTCGTTTTAATTATAATACCTGTCATTAAATAAGTTAATTTTGAAGGGATCGTTCACATATCAAGTGGCCCACTCCGTAACCATTTAAACACATAACTACTGTTCAATACACAGCCCGAGCATAACTACTAGTGCGAGCTTTAAATGAGGTCTTCTTGTTGTTCTTTAACATAAGTATCAGGTTTAAAACTACACAACGTTCTGACATAGGATAATAACCAGTTATTTGGCAAAGTTCCAGCTTAATTTGAACTTGAATTAAACTTGAATTAAACGATACGAGCAACCTGGATGTTTATAATATTATCTGTACCAACTACCTTAGTTACACATCTAATTTCACATTTCACTTAACTTTACAACTCACTTAACTTGTGTTACATGACACGTGACACATGATACGTGACACGTGACAAATAACACGTGATACTTGACACGTGTTACGTTTAGGAACGAGAAAGGAACATTAAGACGATTTACAGTAAAATAGAGGAACTTGGTTCGATGATGGGCAGACTCTCGCAGATGATCGCTAATCAGGGTAATTACTATTAATTAAATAATTATAGTCGTCTGTAATTATTTGTAATTAGAGATATCTGCTACACTTTTCGTTTTCCTAGAATGAAATGAAGATAACTGGAATTTTCACTATTATGGGTAAAGCATTACTGCTTTCCAGTAAAAATTTTGGCTGAAGAAAGTTGCTATATCACATCACGTGTTAATAACGTATTTTAATCACGTGTTATAACTTGTTAATGACTTGTTAATCACCTGTTAATGATTATTAATGACTTTTTAATGATGACCTCTTGCAGGCGAGACGATATCACTGCTGGATACCAACGTGACAGACATCCAAACGAACGTGGATGCGGCCCACTCGGAACTCCTCAAATATTTCCAAAGTATCTCTTCAAACAGATGGCTTATGTTCAAAGTTTTTGGGATCCTGATTGTCTTTTTCATTATCTTTGTTGTCTTCATGGCGTAAATTGGAGATTGTATCGCTATATGTGGGGCTTATGTGATGTTTTTGTTTTAACACAGAGACAGCAGATTGCAATTAGTTAATTAGTAATTGCAATTAGTTAATTAGTAATTGCAGTTAGTCCAAGATAATGCGTTTAATTTCAAATTTTGTTCAGCTTTTTCAGGGTGCCCTAATACAGCCATTGTATAATCTTTAAGAAAAGTTGTATCTGTAAAATTTAGGAGATTTAAAACTATTCTCATTAATCTCACATCTAAATAATGATAGATCTTTAGATTTAGCCTTTATTCGGGTGCACATTTTTACTTGACTAAATAAGAAAACATCTATTATTTAACCACAACGTTTTTAGGTTAGCCGTTGGTAACAGATTAATAATTTGATAATATAATTTAATAATATATTTTATCAATTTGATTATTCATGTTTGTCAATACTAGGTTAGGTTACAAAGTTATTTCAACTTGAGTGCAGCCGAGTGCAGTGTCCAAAATAGAAAAAACATTTGATAATTGACTTTATCATTTAAAGAAGGAACTGTCCAGCAGTTTACGCCAATTTTTGTGAATATACAATGTAATTTTTCATGAACAATTCTCTTTGATCTCCACGGAGTGGTCTAGTTTCACTTTCACTTTCACTTTCACTTTCACTTAATTGTATTCGTCATTTTCTTCAGAAAGGTCTGTTAGCCAGTTTCTTGAATACTAAAAGGTTACTATGTCAGAGTCGGACAATATTCCAGGTGTTGCGAGGGATCATCATGCATTATTAATTCCTGGCGATTGTACTAGCATAATAATCACATTGTACTTACTTGCTACATTATATATATATAGATTATTGACTCTCGAAGTATCAAAAGTGTCAAGTTATACACTGAGGAATTACTATTATTATTTATTAATTGTTCATGACGATAATTAATTATTAATATTATAGTTAATAATTAATTATTCATCCAACAAGGTTTAAGACTATACACGATCTAATCTAAATATTTCTAAAATTAGAATGATCAGACTCAGAACAACTTGAGAGCTGATTGAAGCAGACTTCTCCAAACAGATCACGTGACATAACACGTGACAGTACACTTGACAATATGGTTGAGTTAGATCAGCTGAACATACACAGCTCACGTGACATTATAGCTCGTCATGGCCTCACCCTACCTGAACTCTTCAACTTTTCTCTTGAGTTCTATAAAGAAGGTGATTGTCAACTTAATTAATTAATCTTGTTAATTAAAAGTAATTAATTAATCTTGTTAATTTAAAATCTCGTTACTTGTTTGTGTTACTTGTTTGGTTTGTACATTTTACATAATAAAATGGTAACTATATAATTTATAAGTATGTGGACAGTTTCAACTAGATTATGGCAGGTATAGTACGACCTAAAAACTATTTGCAATCTTAATTATTTGCTATCGAACTTTAGACAAATCTGATAATAAGATAACGTCCTAGAGATCTGATAAGTCTGCAACGATTAAGCCGTTACAACTAAACGTTTAAAATAACTTCATAAATTAAATCTCAAACTGTATTTCTTAATAAAATAATAAATTACATTTTTCATTTCAGAGAAGCACCAGTTCAACTTGTCGTACGACCAAAAGAACCAGTTAGCAGCATATTACAGACAATCAACTCTGGGCCCCTATCATGCTGATAAACTTAATCCTGGTTACTTTGACTTTGTGGGAAATGACCGAAAGTAAGTTACACTGTACACTGTACACTGTACACTGTACACTGTACACTGTACACTGTACACTGTACACTGTACACTGTACACTGTACGTGTGATATCCGGATCGGAGCATTGTTTATTAGTCGCATCATTGTGATAATTCTGATGCAACATTTCTATTGATCCCGTTTATTGCGAAAAAGAAACAAAAATTCTCTATTTTCCTACTTGTCGCAATAAACGGGATCAAAAGAAATTTTGTATCAGAATCATCTAAACTATATATTATATAGGGTTAAGTGTTTGTCCTGTATAATTATGGTTAAGTGTTTGTCCATATTTCTGTATGTCAGTTTCTTTATCACGAGCAATATAACTGTATGTTCACCTGACTTTCTCTCTGTATGTTTGTCAGATTGTCCATTAATTTGTCCGTCTGTCTGTAACCCACTCTCCCAGGAAAGCGTGGGAAGCGCTAGGAGATATCAGCGCTAAAGGCGCAATAGCCGGGTTCTGTAACCTACTTGTCCATTAATTTGTCCGTCTGTCTGTAACCCACTCTCCCAGGAAAGCGTGGGAAGCGCTAGGAGATATCAGCGCTAACGGTGCTATAGCCGGGTTCTGTAACCTACTTGTTTATAAATTTGTCCGTCTGTCTGTAACCCACTCTCCCAGGAAAGCGTGGGAAGCGCTAGGAGATATCAGCGCTAACGGTGCTATGGCCGGGTTCTGTAACCTACTTGTTTATCAATTTGTCCGTCTGTCTGTAACCCACTCTCCCAGGAAAGCGTGGGAAGCGCTAGGAGATATCAGCGCTAAAGGCGCAATAGCCGGGTTCTGTAACCTACTTGTCCATTAATTTGTCCGTCTGTCTGTAACCCACTCTCCCAGGAAAGCGTGGGAAGCGCTAGGAGATATCAGCGCTAACGGTGCTATAGCCGGGTTCTGTAACCTACTTGTTTATAAATTTGTCCGTCTGTCTGTAACCCACTCTCCCAGGAAAGCGTGGGAAGCGCTAGGAGATATCAGCGCTAACGGTGCTATGGCCGGGTTCTGTAACCTACTTGTTTATCAATTTGTCCGTCTGTCTGTAACCCACTCTCCCAGGAAAGCGTGGGAAGCGCTAGGAGATATCAGCGCTAAAGGCGCAATAGCCGGGTTCTGTAACCTACTTGTTTATTAATTTGTCCGTCTGTCTGTAACCCACTCTCCCAGGAAAGCGTGGGAAGCGCTAGGAGATATTAGCGCTAACGGTGCTTAGCCGGGTTCTGTAACCTACTTGTTTATTAATTTGTCCGTCTGTCTGTAACCCACTCTCCCAGGAAAGCGTGGGAAGCGCTAGGAGATATCAGCGCTAACGGTGCAATGGCCGGGTTTTGTAATCTACTTGAAACTGTGTGTCCTGACTTGGTTCCCTGGATAAGACACAAGAAACGAGTACGTGACTTTAATTCATTGCATTTTATCTAGCATGATTATAATCGGATATGCATATTCGAGGCCGTCATGAATTACCTCTATGGCGACTTGATTCACTTGTTCTATTTCTCAATTGTAAACATACTCGTACGTGATTTTCTAAAACTGCCATATTATCGCTGCAGTTAGTAGGATTATTACCGGATATGTAGATGTAACGTAATGTCGTGTCAGATATGAATTTGAAAATCTCTCGGTTATAGTTTACCGTGACTGTGAGCGGATATTATCCAGATACAGTTACTTTTTTATACGATTACAGTCTTTCGTTTGTATCTGTTATGTGATTTTTTCCCGATCCATGACTCAAAGTGCCGAAGGCACAAAAGAGTCAAGGACAAGGGTTAGCGATCGAGGTTTTTTTTTGATATGGTAGCTTTGCGACCGTGCGACCGACCGTGCGTGCCTGCCCTCGCGCACTGTTATCGCCCACGTGACTACCTGCGCAAAGTTATTTTGCGCACAAATCTGAATTAAATAATTGTTGGCGCGCGGCGCTGAACTGACCAAGTACATTATTAATTTCACAATGTACATATCCCACTAGGCACTAGTTGATAGCATACTATTATTATTTTGAGTTACTATTACTATTTTGCACAGATCCGTGTCACTGTCGGGTGTCAGGTTGCATAAACAATAAGCATATTATATATACACGATTTTCAAATTCAATATGGAATTATATTAACTTGGTGGCGCTCGGCCTGTCACTCCGCTATATCTGCATGCTTATAAACAGTTAAAACTGGGATCTCCAGGTTGTATGGAATATGATAAAATACGCCATCACGGATCGGGAAATTGAGCGGCCATCCACAAAAAAAGCGGCCGCATTTCTTGTTCCATCACTGTCCTTATTCTTTGCTAAAAACTGTAAACGAAGCCAGCTAGTTAAAGTCGGCAGTTGTACTATTTAGTTCTGCTATGTAGTATGTCAATGTTACTTTCTTTCTACTACACAAGTGTGCCATTATTTAGTCATTATTTAGTCTGCATTCAAACTTGATAATATGGCATATCTCAAATCTATCCAATTGTGGCTTCATGACATGTATAGTTATTGTCTGAACATCTGAACAAAACGGCCTTATTAGTAACAGCTAGTGTAACCCTACATTTATTGAGATTATGTGGAACAATGTTTCTCTATTCTGTTTCTCTATTCTCTTTCTCTATCTTGTGCATTGTCCCTCCCTAATAATTGTACTGTGTAACACAACCACTGTGTTTTAATCGCCGTGACAATAGCAACGTTACAATAGACTTGTTAAATTCTGATTGAGGATCTTTGTCAGGAAAGAGAGGATAAGATTGTAGAGAAGAAGAAGGAAGAAGAGGCAATAAAGAAGAAGGAGCTAGAGGAAGAGTTGGAAGCTAAAAAACTGATTAACATTGTGAGGAAGGCTGATGAACTGAAGAAACAGAGGTACTAAATTTAGAAAGATGTTAACATCTATTGTTGTTATGGAAGAGTAGTAATTTTTTGTTCTGTCATTTTAGTGGAACGCAGATTGCTAATTTCCATAAATAGCTAAAAATTGGATCAACAAATTTGGCAAAAATTCATAGCTTCGGATTTATGTTTGGAACGCGCCGCGACATTTTGATGATGAAAGGGATCGTGAAATCGCTCTGTAAATTTCATCAGCGCGCGCCACGAACGTACCTCATTATTTTTCATCTTTTTCTGCAACGTCATGAATCTTGAGTTTTTAATCGATAAACCAATCGTCATGGCATCGGCCACGAGTGACGAGTCTGAAGTTATTCGTTCTTAGCTGGATCTATTTTCAGTTTAAAAGAAGATAGTAGCGACGAAGATGATGAAATGCCTGGCTTGGTGAGTATGCTGGCACATCAACAATTATGATAAGTTGACAATTAATAATTGGAAATTGTTGAAATATTCTAGAAAATTCACTTCCATTAAACAGCGTATTGTAAACTTATAATAAGCATCACCAAATTGTAACCTCAAATCCTCAGGAAAAGAACGACAGAAGAGTCCACGGCGCTCCACCCACCCAAACAACTTCCACTTCAGAAGTAGCACCTCCCACATCAGAAGTAGCACCTCCTTTCACAAACACCACCCCCACACTTCAGAATGGTTCTCATCACGGCACACCGAGCGTTGTTGAGCCCACCAAGTGTCCGGAATTAATACTACCGGAGTCTTCAAACGGTTCTGCCGTCAACGGAGATACTAATGATGCGGTTAATGATGCGGTTAATGATGTTAGTGCGGTAAATGGACACGTAAACGGTGTGTTGGAACAAGATGTAATAACTGAGACAGCGGATGTTGGATTATTGCCAGCAGTAGAACCACAAACAGTGCCAGAATCAGACTTAACTCAGACGCCGGATACCTTACAAACTAATGAAACTCTAGAAACTGTAGAGGCGGTCATTGAAGTAGCTGAAACTAGTGTTGTTGTTGAAATTACGGACAATTCGGAACCTGTTAACGATGTCAAATTGCCAGTGTCTGAGCCTGACGTTACAGCTGAAGTACCTGAAGAGATTACATCTGTTTTTCTGACCGAGGTTGTTGAATCTGGGGTGGATGTTGAAGAAGGTGGTGAGGAGACAGCTGATAAAGTAATAGAAAGTGAAATCATCTCTGATCTTCAGAATAAGGTGGTTGAGGATCTGGTTGAGGAAGTGATTTTTGAAGCTGAAAGTGAAGTAGCTGAAGAAGACAAAGCTGGTGCAGTAGAAGTTAGCCCTGATGCAGTAGAAGTTAGCCCTGCTGCAGTTGAAGAAGTTAGTCCTGCTGCTGTTGAAGAAGTTAGCCCTGATGCTGTTGAAGAAGTTAGTCCTGCTGCTGTTGAAAAAGTTAGCCCTGCTGCTGTTGAAGAAGTTAGCCCTGCTGCTGTTGAAGAAGTTAGTCCTGCTGCTGTTGAAGAAGTTAGTCCTGCTGTAGTTGAAGAAGTTAGCCCTGATGCTGTTGAAGAAGTCAGTCCTGCTGCTGTTGAAAAAGTTAGCCCTGCTGCTGTTGAAGAAGTTAGTCCTGCTGCTGTTGAAGAAGTTAGCCCTGCTGCTGTTGAAGAAGTTAGTCCTGCTGCTGTTGAAGAAGTTAGCCCTGCTGCTGTTGAAGAAGTTAGTCCTGCTGCTGTTGAAGAAGTTAGTCCTGCTGCTGTTGAAAAAGTTAGCCCTGCTGCTGTTGAAGAAGTTAGCCCTGCTGCTGTTGAAGAAGTTAGTCCTGCTGCTGTTGAAGAAGTTAGCCCTGCTGCTGTTGAAGAAGTTAGCCCTGCTGCTGTTGAAGAAGTTAGCCCTGATGCAGTTGAAGAAGTTAGTCCTGCTGCAGTTGAAGAAGTTCAAACTAAAGATGCAGTTGAAGTGCAAGATAAGGTGGTCCAGGACCTCGTGTCTGAAGTGGTGGCTGAGGCGGAAAGTGAAATATCTGATGAAGTTAAATCTGATTCGGTAGATGAAGTTAAATCAGAAACAGTAGAAGAGGTAATAGATGAAACTAAAGTAGAGGAGCCGGCCACCTCCCAGGCCGCCAACCCCGAAGTGACACCAGAGGTCTTAAATGGAATCCTGGCCCAGCATTTTGCATGTGTTTTATACCTAAAGCAAATGAAGGATGCGGGACACACTTTAACTGCAGAGCAGGAGAGCTACTTGGTTCAGATGTCTGCTTATGAAGAGCAGCTCAAATCTCTGAAGTCCAGAGTAGCTACAGCTGTAGAAACTGCTTCAGTTGAAGCTACTCCGGCTGAAGTTGCTCCGGCTGTAGCTGCTCCGGTAAAAGCTACCCGGTTGAAGCCGCTCTGGTAGAAGCCGCTCTGGTAGAAACAGCTTCTGTAGAAGTTGCTCCAGTTGAAGCTGTTCCGGTAGAATTAGTTCCAGTTAATGCTGCTCCAGAAGAAACAGCTCCGGAAGTAGCCGCTCCGGAAGAAGCAACTCCGGAAGATATCGCTATCCCTGCATCTGACTCAGACCTTGATCAGGACACTCTACTGATACCCTCCAGAAGCGTATCCAACAGCCAGGAGTCCTTCTCGATGATCAGTTCAGGTGAATCCCTGCAGGTCATTGATTCGGACGGCATGTCAAAGGAGGGAACTGTTCCTGATTACGCAGAAATTCTCCTATCTGCAGAGTTGGCGGATGGAGCTGAAACTGAAGTAGGGGTTGAGGCAACTGAAGAAGAGGTCCCCGCTGAAGCACCGTCAGAAATTGAACCGACTATTGAACTAGAGATAATTCCCGTGACTGAAATTGTCACAAGTGTTGAAACAGCTGCTGCTGTTAAAACAGCCCCCGCTGCAGTTGAAACAGCCCCCGCTGCTGTTGAAACAGCCCCCACTGCTGTTGAAACAGCCCCCGCTGCAGTTGAAACAGCCCCCACTGCTGCAGTTGAAACAGCCCCCGCTGCAGTTGAAACAGCCCCCACTGCTGCAGTTGAAACAGCCCCCGCTGTCAAGCCCACACTTGTTTTAGCAGAACTCCCAGTAATGGCAGCGCCTCCCCTCCCTCAGTCTCCAGCAGATGTTGCCGCTCCGGACAACGCCCAGGAATTGTCCGCTTTAGCGGAGACCCTCCAAAACCAACTACCTGACCCGAACACTGAGCCAGCTGCTGGAGACTCAGACGAGGACTCCGACGGGGATGTTAGAATGTGGAGCAAAAGTGGAATTGATCTGTTTATAGCTGAGGTGTCACGTGATGCGGACTCTGTCCTGAATGTCGGACGGGGGGAGACTGTGACTGTTAGAATCCCCACCTACGAGTCCGGGACCGCATTATACTGGGAGTTTGCTACTCAGAACTATGATATCGGGTTCGGGGCAAGTTTCGAGTGGGAGGAAGAAGAAGGGGATAATATCGGGACACCCCAGGATAAGACTCTAGAGATGACAGTTCGAAGGGAACCAATACTTCCCATATTGCGACGTAGTAGTCACGAGAAGGTAATAACAGGGTCTCACGCCTTCCCACGTTGTGGCACCTACCTGTTAATGTTTGATAATTCCTTCTCGTTATTGAGATCCAAGACAGTTTATTACAGAGTGTTCTATACGAGGTAAAGGCTTTTTGTCTTCAATTTTATTGAATTTATATAGATTGGATAGTTCTAGACGGTTCTAGAGAGTAGACACGCGTCACGTGACACACTGTGTTTATAGTCGGAAGATTCGACTGTCCCTCAAAGGATCGGTCTTCGTGTTTTTGAGCTTACTTAGCCTTAAAATAACTAATTTCTTTTTTGATATGAAATAGTTTAATTATCTTAAAGTCTAGTAAACTATTGTGACAATTTCACCGAGGTTTTAAACTAAAAAGCAAATGTCGATAGTTCTAGAATAAAGATGGAAGATGAGGCTCTTTTGTTTCAAAAACCTCATTTACTTAAAATGCCTTATATGGGCATCACGTGAGATAAGAACGCCCGAGATAAGAACACCCTAGTAGTTATTTGGAATGAGTTAATTTATGAATTTAAACCAAATTGTAAAGACTTATAAATAAAGAAACTGTCGCCTAAATTTTATTTCGAACAGCATGCATTAATTCCGCACAATTTGGCGACAGATGGACAGAGGCAAGATTTGGGTGCGGCAAAGTTTCGTAAATTATTCGATCTGGTTTTTAGTTAAATTTTACGATTTCGCCCTCAAATATTGCCTTTGACGATTAAGATAAGAATTGTCAATTTGGGATGTAATAACTCGTTTTTGTGTACACATTTTCTGTTGATTGTTAAGATAGTATTTTTCTGACCACAAAAATAACAATTTAATAAGTGGCCGAAAGTTGTTCAATTTATGTTAAATAAATACGTTGCGTATGTTCATTGTTCATCTGAGCACCTCTTTTTAAACAAATAAAAATCAGCGTTGTGCAAGGAAACAATAATATTCTGATTATTATAAGACAAAATTACATAATGTGACTAATAAATCAAACTAACTAATAATCCCCAATTAACACAACAATTGAGTTCATGAAGGAGTAACACCAGGAACACATTAACAACTGCGTCTACCAAGTTATAGCTTATATAATAAACAATCCTTAATCCTTTATTCGCGGCAAATTAACATCCATAGTATTAATACGTTCATATTACTATTTCATACGTCATCATAATAATTGTATAGGTAGGTTCCAGAAAATTCGCGATTATTCCTGTTCCTAATAAAATCCATCCTTTTAACGAATCAAAAAATGCTTTGCTTTAATCTAAAATCAGTGCTAGATCCAATTAGGTCTAATCGGTGAACAGTTATCTATCATATTTGAATAAATCTACAATATAAAATTAGAAGCAGCCAAACGTATCCTAATTTAAATTAATACGAACTAACAAAGCAAAACATAATCCTCATCGTGTTCAATATTGTCGGTACACACACTCGGTCACAACTTAATAAATATATCCAAATCCCAGTACTGCACATAAAATGATGTGATCCACGGCTCATGATCACACCACTGCAAACAGCTCACTATTTCTACCCCACGTGATTGTCACGTGTTGCCGTGACAACGCGCGCGCTACCATGACAACACTGGTAATTCACATCAGGATTTAATAGTAAGTCTGCCCATTAACACCCGGTAAAAAAACAGCTGATAGTCCTTCCCAGGATCACTTCACGACTAATTGTTGTGTTAATTGGGAGTTAATTGATCACAATATGAACAAATTAAAATATTACAATTACATGCTACATAATTATACATAATTATACATTATATCCCAAACAAAATGTTAAAACATTAAAAGTGATTGATCTATAGATAGGACGAAATCAAATTTTTTCGATAAGATATTTATATAATATTATTACAGAATGTACAATGAGTTGATTAAAATAATAATTATCACACGATTTGCTCATATATAAGTATATATCACAAGTTATACTCATTACGATTCTCCACCAATCACGATCTGGAAGTTTTTAAAATTCCTAATCTCACCAGACACCAACCCTAAAGTTCCAGACTCCACCCTAAAATTGCCCAATTATTTAATTAATTAATTAATTACTGATTATCTTTATCAATGGTGTCGTTGTGTTAAATCTTTATGAAGTGACTTTAAATGCTGCTCTCACATCTCAGGTCTCGAGGTGATATTGACGCTATAGCACAGGTCCTATATCTTAGACACGTGATGCCCATATTAGGCGTGTCGCGTGATATTCTCACATGTGTCATGTAGCACATTTGTGCACATAACTTCTTTTCTGACTAAATCTGAAAATTCAAACTATAAGTTAATTGTGTATGTTTGGTAAGGGAAAAACTTGTAGGTTCGCATTTTCCTTTCCCCAAACTATGTGGTAAATCGGGGTTCTAATGTATATGACTGACAATGAAAGCCCAAAACAGCGATTTTCAAAGTGAAGAAATAAAGTTAAACGACTTTGTTGCTCATTAATATTATTTTTCAAAAAATTGACGTACCTGATACTTCATAGTGTCCAAATGACCAACAAATCATGTGATCTGCATGTTGATATTTTAGGAGAACTGACTGATAAACCGAGCCCACCCACCAGCTACAGGTACCCACCGAGAGCGAGAAGCAATGCGACCGACTACTAAGCCAGGCTGCCAAAAGGAAGGACAGTAAAGGAACTACAGACACACTGCTTTATCGGCAACACATACGCCGCGCACTGCAACATCACGTGACACGCTATAAATAACCACTCTGATCGCGTGAGAACGCATGGTTGGTCGCGTAGCAACCCACGTGGTCACCAGGTTTGTCACGTGGGGAGTCTCGTGACGTGCCGTACATCTCAAATGGCTCAATTATAGAAGGCAATATTTCCGGGAGTGAGGCTGTATGCTGAGTGTAATTGTAGCAGTTGATGGCGTAGACTACAAATTTAATATTACCAGCCGTTATAAATATAACCCAGTGCAAACACTGTTAGGATTAGATGTGAGCACTATTTAAAATGATAATATATTTGATATTGATCATTGTTCAACATTGATGCTTTTCATACAAAAAAGTTAAATGTTACGTCATCAACTTATGTAGTTGTTCAGTTTATCAAAAAGCAGAGTAATTTTATTTTTAGAACAAAATCAAGGATAAAAACCATTTTTAGTCACAAATTTGTATCCATGCTCCTCATTATCATTTAAATCACAATACCAAGTATATACCAATTTCTCGAAAAACTAGATTACTACTTATTAAGCCTAAGACGTACACTGATCAGAGAATTGATCGAAATAACTAAAGCGGACTGCCGGAATTAGCAGTTCTGATCAACCCACAAAACATCTCCAGAATGAATTGATCGCATTTGAAAACAGTTCATTAACTATGAGTAGGATTAGCTTGTGGTTCATTAAACCACCGATGTTTCAACAAAACTAACAACATTAAGCCTCTGGTCTGCATCACTCTGTATGCACTGGTTAATAACCTCCTTAGCCAGATCGTCTCCATCATCCAGCCACTGTAATCTAACATAGTCTCTGATCTCCGTCTTATCGTTAAAAGGACAGTCTCCAGCGATGAGGCAGTGGACCAAACAGCAGATAGTCCAGACGGCAGCAGGGAAAGCGGAGTATTTCTTCTCTCTGTAGTACTCCGGAGGGAGGTACACATCTGTTCTTGGTAGGTGGTGTCATGTAGGGTAACTAGGGTTCCAGGGTCGGGGACAGTTTACTGGACAGTTTACCAAAGTCTATCAGCTTGGTCTGGAGGGTGATGGGGTTGAGGAGGATGTTCTCGTCCTTGATGTCCCGGGGACGAGGTAGTGGACAACCTGCCGGGTGATAACTCTGGAAGCAGTGCATGGAGGTGAGAGGTCCGTGTAGTTGAAGAGATCCATCTCATACATCCAGTAGTTGTTTTTCCTCGTCGTAGAACACCTCCAGAAGGGACACTAGATTGGGATGGTAGAGAGGCAACCACAGTGCCACTTCATCCGGGACGTTCTTGTTGAATCTGGGGCACCAAGTCTTCCTTGTATCACGTGGTGACCCCCACTGTCGCTTCACTATAGTGAAGGGGGATACAGGGGGAGCCGCGCACTTCGTGCGCGGCGGGTCATACAACGTATGACAAGGTCTTCCGTAAGCACTTCATATCAGAGACGATATTCACCGCACACTTCTGTTTTGTGTCCAGGACCGAGGTCGATACATACCCTCCAGATCCAATTTGATCCACCAGTATGTAGTGCAGATCTGTCTCCGTACATATCGTGTGGGTTAGAAGCGAAGCTTTTGTACAGTCGAGGTAAATGTTTGGGTAAGAGGTTATCAAGAAAGTTGGAGCTGGAAAGTAGAGATGAACTAGATGATGCACTCCAACCTTCACCTCCCCTTATTCATACCGCCCCTTATTTCCCGTATCATTATGGGAGGGATAACTAAACTGTTAGGCACGAGTAATTACGTGGTCACGTGACATTACGTAACGATCATTACGCGCCTAATTAAGTGTGGATTTTTAAGAGCCCTAATAGCTGCACTGATTGCTTGATAACAGCCGTATGGTGAGTCACGTGGTGAGTATACCCTTATATGGGTATCACGTGACCCAGCCACTGGCTGTCTAAGACTAGAGTGCAGTTAGTCTAGCAGACATTCAGTGTTATTAGACTAGAAGTATTCAAGACAAGAAGCTTCTCACATGTGTAATGTAGCTATTTGTGCACAGAACTTCTTTTCTGACTAAACCTGAAAATTCAAACTATTAGTTAATTATGTATGTTTGGAAAGGGACAAACTTGTAGGTTCGCACTTTAATTGACGATGTCAATTCATGGCAGCTCGGCGCGGCACAGTAGCGCATCTCGCCGATCTAGTAACGCATCGCGCTACAAGTTCGCACTCGACTTCTTCAATATGGCGACATCATTCAAAATTGGAAAAACGTCAGAAAGTACTACCTCGATTTACCATACCTTTTCTCTTTATCCCACAATTTTCCTTTCCCCAAACTATGTGGTAAATCGGGGCCCCTGGCTGTATTCCGAGAGGACTAAAATTAAGAAGGAGACACGGCTTACGAATTGTAATAATTATAAAGCTTATTGATTGGAAAAAGCGAGCGACCGATTTCGTTCTCGGTATCAATTTGCATTTACGGACGGTTATTCAAATTAATATCATTTCCTTTTTTCTTTTTTTTTTCTTAAAAAAAAAAAAGAGAGGCTGGGCCTGGTTGGCCCACGAGAGGATAGCATATGAATGCTTTGCCTACCTCTGGGGTATGGCAGTCCTGTGGGAGGATGCCGCGGTGGAATCAAGATGTGTAATCAAGGATGATGGTAAGTGTTGTGGGGTGTGTCATAGATGAACGCTTAAGTGGTGGTTGAGTGTGGAAGAGAGAGGCGAAATAAGACGGCGTTAAAGTAGTCGCTATGTTACACCTGTCTGGTCCAACTCCTTTGGCACCATTAAGCGTTTAGTGTGGTTTGCAAAGTTGACAATCATGGTGGAGATGTGTTGGTTGTCGAATATGTCATTGACAGAGAGGTATTAGTCCCGGAAATATTGACCTCTTATTTGGGCAATAGCCGGGCACTGTCCGAGAAAGTGTGAGACAGTCTTCTCTTCGTCGCCGCATTTAGGACAAGCACTTGTGTCTGATTTGCGAATGGTGTGTAGGTGTTTGCTGAGGCCACAATGTCCCGTGATGACAGGGACAAAAGGATTTCGCTATTATTTTGGCCAAAAATCGCGATACTGGATACCGCGATTTTTAACAGACTATACATTAAACTATACATAAAATTTGTCGCAAATAATGAGGAAAATCGCGATTCCGTACATGCCGCGATTTCCTTTTGTCCCTGCGTGATGAGGTGCACTGCAGTTCTGTAATTTTGTTTGTTGTTACTGAGTGTAGTGTTGAGATTTTTGATGATGTTGATGTTTAATTTTTGTGTCCAAGTGTCAGTTTAGTGTGTCTGGGACCATCAGTAATCCATGATTCTTGATTAAGTTTGGTGACTTTGTCGTTGATATGATCAGGCGTTTGATGTAAGATTGTTGTAAGATCATGTCCTTTTGTTTGGAAAAGAGAGACACTGGTAGCGGTACACTCTACCCATGATTATGGGTTTTGGTCAAATATCATCTCTTTTTGATTATAATGTCAGGATAATTTACAAAGCCGAAATGTACACTCATAACTTCATTAATATTACATATTAACATTAACAATTAATAACGAGGTAATTTCAACGATTTCGAAATTTTACCTTTGAAAACGTTTCCTTGCGTTTAGGTAGGCATATCTGTTTATAACTGACTGAGCTGAATATGGCACTTTTTACTCATTCAAGTTGTCATTAAATTCATATACATATAATGCCATTTAAATATCGTGGGAAAGCAGAATTTATTCGAAATCACGAATGAGCAAAATTCTCACCTTTCGCACATGTAAACTTTGAGCGGACATTGTGTGCGCATACAATACTGAATCACCGTAAATTTTTGCATAGTGGTATTTTATATATAGTTTGATAAGCATGCAAAGTTTCAGAAGATTTATTGTAGGTTTACACCCTACCAGGACGCGCGCCGAGTTGGACTAGACAAATATTTTACGAGTATTCAGTATCACCCGTTAAAAGATTTCAAAAAGAACTTGTATCACAACGGGACTCTAAATTTGATAAAAATCGTGAAAATAACAATTTTCAGTGATTTTAGCAATTTTAAATCAATTTGGGCGTGTGCCCACGTGTGCAAATTTTCGATGTTCAACTTCAAAACTAGCCTATAACACAATTTAGACCTTAAAAAAAGCTTGATTGACGATGTCAATCCGTCGAGATCGTCGAAGCAAGAATGCTAGTTTGCGCGGCGCGTCGAAGCGGCGAAGTCCTCCAAAAAAAAGCAAAATTGAGCCCCACAACCCAAGAAATGGTCCAACACCAAAAAATACTAATTCACAACTTTTGCGTTTTTATAAAATTATTCTTCGAAAACGCACTAACTTCCTAGCTTCAATAGCGAATATTTTTATTATGAAGGAGCAAGGTAGGAAAACTTTCCGGTAAATTTTTAGAATGCCGTATTTACCAAATTTGCTTAAAGTACGACCTTAAAGGAAGAATTTTAAGTATCACGTTAAAGTGACACTTAAAAAGTTGGACCTTAATCGAAATTCGTATTTACCAACTGGAAATAGCTCGTACTTTAATTTATAGGTTGACCTCCCACTTATGCTCTAAGTGGGAGGTCAACCTTTAACAAAAATTGTTATTCACCAAAATTTTATCACTGAACTGACACTTTAAGTGCAGAATTAGATGTATTGTAATGTATTGTATAAGAACATGATGAGTATCAGGAGGTAATTAGGGGAAAATAGACTGCTGAGAGATTAAATAGAGAGCAAGATTAACAAATTTTACTAATTATCAGGAGAGCTGTTAGCACAAAGCTATCTGGAGGTAAACCAATGTTTGCGAGTTGCTGTAATATGTTTCTGATCGAAATCCGTTTGTCTGATTTGTTTGCTCCTGATTAAACTTTAGTAAATTTGAATAATGAATGAGTATTGAGTTACGACGACTTGTTAAACCTACAACGGCAGCGGGTAGAATCTAGAGTTATTCAGCGCAGGCCTGTCTAAGAGACCGATTTAACCTACTGGAGGCATACGATGACGTAGATTTTTACTACCGATTTCGAGTCAAGATAGAATGTTTTCTTCTCATCCTCCAAGCCGTAGAGCCCCTACTTTCTCAGTACAGGAAACAAACCAATTCCCCATTGTGCCCGGTACAGCAGCTCTCTGTGGCGCAACGGCTTTGCAGATCTCTTGTGGCGACATTCAGCAAGCTCAAAGAAAAAACCCTCGTTGGGAGTGAAGAACGAGGTAAAGAATTTTCCTGCCTCGTCATCTCACCTTAAGTTTAACTGTAAGAGGACAACAACAGAAGAGGCGTACCAGGAGCGGGCAGAAGAGATACATCAAGCGAGAATGGGGATGCTGACCACGCAGCGAATACAGATGTCAGAAAGGCATGAACTGTGGATGGAGATTTTGAAGGGCCTTACAGTCAATTTGGTGCCAACCTCATCCCGATTACCATTTTCAGGTGGCCTTCCCTCCGAGCTTGAGGGTGAAAACATAGCTGATTTTATTATGAATATTTTACTTTCACTTCAATATTTACACTATTTTTACTCTTGAAACGCTAGTGTTTTTATAGTTTTTCACACGGTGCAAGTACATAATTAACCGTTAAATGAGTAGAGATCTTAATTGTAAATGAGTCAAAATCAATACGTTTAGCTCTAATATGACAGCTATAATAATATAACCGCTAATCATAACCAACTATAATATATTTTAGAATATAACTGTTACATATGTAACAGATTTTAAACTTTAAGTATGAGGTCTGCAGATTAAGGGTGACATAGGTGTACCTTAAAAATAGTCGTTTTAAGTGTGAGTTTAAGTACGAACTTAAGTATGACTCGATTTGGTAAATACCAATTTTGAGGGATTTTAAGTGTGACACTTAAAAATTAAGGGTGACACTTAAAAGAGAATTTCGTGAATACCATTTGTAGAGTTGCCACTTAAACTCCTTTTTAAGTGCGACCTCATCCTTAAACTGCTGTTTAAGTATGACCTAAAGGTTGGTAAATACGGCCCTAAACAATTATTTAATTTTAATATGCCATCACATTTTGAAGGGCATTTCAAGTTTTTAAAATGGTTAACTTGATGACGTCATCAAGTGGTAATGATGACGTTAAATTATTTTTTGATATAACGTTAACTGAAATGTTGACATACGTTGCATGCCACTTTTCGCGCGCGAAGCGCGCGCCGCCGAAGGGATACGAAACATGTATCAACTGAAATGTAAACAATTATATTGAAGACCTGTGCACTGTGGTTCAAGATGAATGTATTTTTTGATATTTTTGAATCTACAAATGGCAATGCCAAATGCAATGTTTGATCGTAAACTTGGTTTAAGCTCCCCCTGTGTTATACTAGACTAGCATGTTTTTACATGCCAGTGTGAGGACGTGAGGTGTTGCTTTTCGTTTGTACATTGTTAATTAATTAAATAAACTGATTTTCACGCACTATTTTGCACCACTTTTTCACAAAAAGAAACTAGCGCGGCGCGCGCTATTTTGAAAAAAATGTTGACAAGTAATATTCAATATTTTCCAAATGTATGACATACTTGTATATATCACGTCGTGACTCCCACGGTCGTTTCACTATGATGTAAAGAGAGTAGAGTTTCTACGATACAGCTGGGGAGCCGCGCACTCGTGCGCGGCGGGTCATATACAACGTATGAAAATGACATACAGTAAATCATTTAAAAATATCTAAAAAGTGCTCTAAGCTAAATATAAAAAGCTTTATTTATAAAAAACAAATTTTAGTAAGTTTTATTAACGTGTGATACTCGTAAAATATTTGTTTCAAATATTTTAAGGACCGTCGACGAGTCCAACTCGGCGCGCGTCCTGGTAGGTTACAAACCTTTAATAAGTTGTACAAATAGAAAATTAAAAACAAATTTGGAATTTTACGTTTTATTTACAATCGCGCAATCAAACAAAAATAAAAAAATCATTAGTTCATAGTTTCAAGTTTAAGTTTTATTGTTTATAAACATAATTTAAAAAAAAATCTAATTTAATTGGTATCTCGTTTTGTTGTTTCAAAACACCCAATTTAAACCGCACGTTTTGTTTAATAATTACAAAGTAATGGATATACGCGACAGTTTACCTCAAAAATAAAATTCAGTGTTAGTTGAGTTATAGTTGCTTTCTGAATACACACGCGCCAGAGCCAAAATCTACCTCCAACAAAGATTATATGCCCTTCAGTTTACACCAATCGGGCTCTTTTTCTAAAACATAAAACATGAGTGAGATTTAAGGTCATCGATTAATTCATAGTGTTTGCACACATCACATATACTTGAGACAGTTTAAATTGCCCATTTTATACGAATAGTTTTGCAGATATGTTTGTCCTACAGCTCTTAAAATTCACCATTTGTTCAGTCAATTCATAATCTACACTATGCCGTTGTTCATCACCCTTACTATTGTATGCAGACACCCCCAATGCGGGGATTTGGCAAGCAGATTCTGACACAGACTGCACTTACCTATACCCTACGAGGGTCAATCAGTTACTGTACGAGTTGAAGCAGTTTAGTGATCAAATCTTAACCCTTTAACTATTGGGTACACAAAATTATCCCTATTATATTATTTAAAGGTCATGACATGTGCTATTATAGTCATGTTGACTAGATAATTTTGATGCTCTTTGTCATATCGATTTTATTTTGAGTTCATCATTCGAATTCCCCCTGTCAGATTTTGAGATTGTTGCAGTTCCATCTTCTATTACAGTTTTCAGTTTTCAATCCCCCCCTTAAAGTGGATTTGATCTTTGTTTGTAAATGTAACGAATTAAGTACATAGAATATAACATTCAATTCCTCATGCAGCTAAAACACATTATGAACTTTGGAGGTTTGCCAACCATCTTGATTTCGACAATTACGGGGGCATTGATTGGGTATCTACTCCCCAAACTGCAGGTAATTTCAGTCACATCAACTTAAAACTTGCTTTCAATATTATTAAGGCTATGAAATTATAATTAAAATGTTTATCAATTGATTCTGGGGAAGAAACGGGAGTCTCCACTTTCTATATTTAAAAAAATACATCAGACCAGGTACAGCGGCGTAACAAAGGGCCCTGCTGACCCTGCTGTGTGGGGGGAGGACCCAAACGTCGTTTGAATGTAGGACAATTTTGAAAAACTCACCAGAAGTACTAGCAATACTGCGCATTTGCTCTAGAAACACACTTTTTTAGAGATTTCATGGTTGTATCCTCGAAATGGTGGGACACTTCATCCAGTGGCGTAACGACTGCCCCTGCTACCCCTTCTAGCAGGGGGCGGGGGGGGGGGGGGGGGGGGGGGGGGGGGCAATGACTACTTTTGGGGACTTGGGGAATTACGTCAACGATTTTACCCCGAGTCCCCATGATTTTTAGTCCCCATTAGTCCCCAAAAGTCTCCATTAGTCCCCATTTAGATTTCAAAAAATCTGGCTTCTCCAGACCAGATCGTAAACGTCTCAAGACTGAAGTCTAGAATATTTATAAATGGTCACTGGACATTCCTGACTTCTTGGGAGCTACTTGAGGGCTGTTAGAGTACCTCAGATAAATTAAGGGAGGGGGCGGGGGCGACTACCAATGACAACATTGAGGAGACATATTGCATATATACGCTTATTTTATCAGATTGATCTAGTAACACGAGTTGTAGCGCAAGGAAAATAAACGCATTATCAATTTTTCTTATTACTTTTGTATTGATTTGTTTGAAATGATATGCTCAGTAATTTGAAATTGGCGTTGGTTTCTTTTGTTTTTGACGATCATTTATGAAAATATTCACAAAAGAGTACTTGCCAGTGCTTAAAATAAAGATCACCCAAGTCTGTTCACAGAACGGCTGTTATAAATACTCATTCACCCATCATCTAACATCTTGAAGTGTATTAGGAGGGTAAGGCGAAGGGTTAATTCATGATTTTTCATTCGATTATAAGATGGGTCAAAAGATTCAAGAGTTCAGCAAGTCGGCTACTTCTACCTTCACGAGAGCTAAACTTCAATTTACCTCAATCTGAACTGACTTGTACAGTGGTAGAACGGTCCTCCTGGATCCTCCTCCTGGGTCCTCCTCCTGGGTCCTCCTCCTCCTTCTCCTCTTCAGTCCTTCTCCTCCTCAGTCTTCCTCCTCCTCCTCCTCCCTCTCAGTCCTCCTCCTCAGTCGTCCTCCTCAGCCATCCTCCTCAGTCCTCCTCCTCCTCCTCCTCAGTTCTCATCCTCCTCCTTCTCAGTCCTCCTCCTCCTCCTCCTCCTCCCCCTCCTCCTCAGTCCTCCTCCTTTTCATCCTCCTTCTCTTCCTCTTCAGTCCTCCTCCTCATCCTTCCCCTTAGTCCTCCCCCAGTCCCCCTCCTCCTCCTATTCAGTCCTCGACTACTCCTCAGTTCTCCTCAGTCCTCCTCCTGGATCCTCCTCCTGGGTCATCCTGATCCTCCTCAGTCTTCTTCCTCCTCCCCTCCTCAGTCCTCCTCCTACTCCTACTCCTCAGTCCTCCTCCTCCTCAGTCCTCCTCCACAGTCCTCCTCCTCAACGGTCCTCCTCCTCCTCTTCATCAGTCCTCCTCCTCATCAATCTTCCTCACCAGTCCTCCTTCTCCTTCTCCTCCTTCTCCTTAGTCCTCCTCATCCTCCTCATCCACCTCCTTCCCCTCCTCATCATTCCTCATCAGTCGTCCTCCTCCGCCTCCCCTCCTCCTCCTCAGTCCCCCTCTTCAGTCTTCCTCCTCAGTCCTCATCCTCCTTCTCCTCAGTCCTCCTCAGTTTTACTCCTCCTCCTCCCTCTCAGTCATTCTCAGCCATCCTCATCAGTCCTCCTCCTCCTCCTCCTCAGTCCTCATCCTCCTCCTTCTCAGTCCTCCTCCTCCTCCTCCTCCTCCTCAGTCCTCCTCCTCAGTCATCCTCCTCAGTCCTCCGCCTCCTCCTCCTCCTGGGTCTTCCTCCTGGGTCATCCTGATTCTCCTCAGTCCTCTTCCTCCTCCCCTCCTCAGTCATCCTTCTACTACTACTCCTCAGTCCTCCTCCTCAGTCCTCCTCCTCCTTATCAGTTCTCCTCCTCATCAATCCTCTTCACCAGTCCTTCTTATCCTCCTCCTCCTTAGTCCTCCTCATCCTCCTCATCCACCTCCTTCCCCTCTTCTTCCTCCTCTTCTTCCTCCTCTTCTTCGTTCTCCCCTCCTCAGTACTCCTCCTACTGGACTACTCCTCAGTCCTCCTCCTCCTCAGTCCTCCTCCTCCTTCAATCCTCTTCACCAGTCCTCCTTCTCCCACTCCTCCTCCTTCTCCTTAGTCCTCCTCATCCTCCTCATCCACATCCTTCCCCTCCTCATCATTCCTCATCAGTCGTCCTCCTCCGCCTCCCCTCCTTCAGTCCTCCTCAGTCCTCATCCTCCTTCTCCTCAGTCCTCCTCAGTTTTACTCCTCCTCCTCCCTCTCAGTCAGCCTCCTCAGCCATCCTCCTCAGTCCTCATCCTCCTCATATTTCTCCTTAGTTCTCCTCCTCCTCAGTCCTCCTCAGTCCCCCTCCTCAGTCCTCCCCAATCCCCTCCTCCTCCTCCTCCTATTTAGTCCTCCTCCTCCTCCTCCTCAGTTCTCATCAGTCCTCCTCCTTCTCAGTCCTCCTCCTTCTCCTCCTCAGTCCTCCTCCTCAGTCATCCTCCTCAGTCCTCTGCCTCCTCCTCCTCCTGGGTCCTCCTCCTGGGTCATCCTGATTCTCCTCAGTCCTTTTCCTCCTCCCCTCCTCAGTCATCCTCCTACTACTCCTCAGTCCTCCTCCTCAGTCCTCCTCCTCCTCCTTATCAGTCCTCCTCCTCATCAATCCTCTTCACCAGTCCTTCTTCTCCTCCTCCTCCTTAGTCCTCCTCATCCTCCTCATTCACCTCCTTCCCCTCCTCGTCATTCCTCACCAGTCATCAGTCATCCTCCTCAATCCTCCTCCGCCTCCTCCTCATCAATCCTCTTCACCAGTCCTCCTACTTCTCCTCCTTCTCCTTATTCCTCCTCATCCTTCTCATCCACCTCCTTCTCCTCATCATTCCTCATCAGCCATCCTCCTCAGTCCTCCTCCTCCTCCTCAGTCCCCCTCTTCAGTCCTCCTCCTCAGTCCTCCTCAGTACTCCTCCTCCTTAGTCCTCCTCAGTTTTACTCCTCCTCCCCCTCCTCAGTTCTCCTTCCTCCTCATCCTCCTCCTCCTCCTCATCCTCCTATTCAGTCCGCATCCTCGGTTCTCCTCAGTTTTCCTTCTTCTCAGTCCTCCTCCTCCTCAGTCCTCCTCCTTCTCAGTCTTCCTCCTCCTCCTCCTCAGCCCTCAGGTCCTCAGTCCTTCTCCTCCTGAGTCCTTCTTCTTCTCCTCCTCGTTCTCTTCCTCCTCCTCATCAGTCCTCTTTATCCTCCTCAGCCCCCTCCTCCTCCTCAGTCCCCTCCTCAGTCCCCCTCCTCAGTCCCCCTCTGCTCTCCCTCTTCCTCACTTTCATCTCTCAATAATTTGTTCAATTTATAATTATTGTTGGTGTTATTGTTTATACAATTTATTGTTATACTAAAATGTTTTTAAACGTATTTGAGTCTGACTCAAAATGTGCTCAAGAATCTTTTGGCTTAACAGAGTTTCACTCTCCAGAAATAATAATATGGAAAAGTTGTTACATGATATTTTTCATTTAAAAATTCCCTTTTCATCCCTTTTTATGTTATTCTTTGTGCCTAATTGAGGATTAAAAGTTTGAGAAAGGACCATGGTCATTAACCGTGCTACCCATTTCTGCAAATAGCCTGTTACAAATTGTGGAGAAAATTTAAATCAAAAGTTACAATTTTTGTCCGTTTTTGTCCGTTCGGTACCCTATTTTCTGAAAACGGACAAAATTGAACGGACAAAAACGGACAAAAAATAACATGAGCTCCCCCCCCCCCCCCGTAGAACACATTACAACCGGGCTTATCATTTTACTTTTAAGTCAGATTTATCCTACTCTTATCTTGGACAAAACATCTCGATCGTATCGTTATTAAACTAACTTGAAAACCATAAATAACTGTCAAAAATTCTGGGGACTTATGGGGACAAATGGTGAATTACGTCAACGAGTTGACCTCTAGTCCCCATGATTTTTAGTCCCCATTAGTCCCCAAAAGTCTCCATTGGTAGTCATTGGCCCCCCCCAGGGGGCGGCACCTTAGGGGGGGGGGGGGGGGGGGGGGGCGGTATTTTTCCTGGATTTGGTCTGATTTCACCGAAAAGCGCCTTATTGGTGTACTGCCCTGTCGAATTTAGCGTCCGGTCGGGTACCATTTTTGCTTCAGGGGGCGGCAAAAAGCTGTAGGGGGCACCAAAAAAAGTACCCAACTTTTTTGCGGGGGAAAATTTCGGCGAGCCAAGCGAGCCGGCTCCAGATAGGGGCGGCAAATTTTGATCAGCAGGGGGGCGGCACAAAGTAACGTTACGCCACTGACTTCATCAGATATCCTGAGCTACTTGTCAGTGATTTAGTCTTATGGGAACCTATGCATGGTAGAGCACAGCAAGGCCAACCAAGACAAAGCTACTTGTATATGTTACTGAATGAAGTTGGGACAAGCTCTAAAGAGGAACTGCGAACCCTGATGCAGGATAGGGACATATGGAGGGGTTTTTTGGTGTAGATTCGACTTAGTTCCGACATAGTAGTAGTAGTATCCTCTAAAATCACCTAATTTGTCCAATTTTAGGGAGGGGTGCCAAAAGAGGAGGGGGTGCCAACAGGGGGTGCTTTTTCGGCAAGGGGAGGGGGGGGGGGGGGCGTCAACAGGCAACGTTACGCCACTGACCAGGTATCATAGACTTTTAGGCTACATTTGTCACAGATAACACATTTACTGTGCGGTAAATTGGGGTTTTACTTGAGGTAAAATGTGTTGTTTCTGCCATCGGAAATTATTTGGTTACTGGAAAGCCTATTCTTACATAAATTATAATTAGTTAAGTCATAATAAATCGATTTCGTGGCAGTAGCAATATACATGTTATTCAATTATTCATCCCTGAAGACAAATTGTCACTAACACTAAAAGTGTATCCCACCGAAAGATTTAACAAAGTGACTGTTCAGGCAAGGATCCAGAAGAGAAAGAGAGCAAGCCTGAACTATACCGAGGATGATAACCTTGTGTCTGGGGACACTTACAAAATGCTACTTGTGGTCAGGATGGATCTCAAGATGGGCAAAGGTGCAACTCTCGTTATTTTTCATAATACTAGTTGAAGTTTGTAGTTTATCAGCTTCTTCACACCATTTATTTTTGTCAACCTTACACTTTTAAAAACATAACTTTACATTTCACTAGGACACTCACATGGCAAAAGTAAAGTAATTCTCTAATACACTAATTTACCCAAGTAAAGCCACCACAGTGACCCACACACACACCAAACTTGAATTGATTAACATATTATTTTCACTATAAGATGAGGGTGCACACTGCACACATGTTGTGATTTACACACGTGTTGCAATTTACCTCATCCCCCATCCCATCAGGGATAAAAGGATTTCGCGGTAATTTTGGCCAAAAATCGCGATACCGCGAATTAAATTTCGCGGTATATTAAACTATACATAAAATTTGTCGCAAATAATGGGAAAAATCGCGATTCCATACTATAATACATGCCTCGATTTCCTTTTGTCCCTGTCCCATTATCTAATCTGTATATAATCAGGTAAAGTAGCAGCACAGTGTGCACACGCAGCTTGCGGCTCTGTTGAGGTAGCAACTAAACGTAACCCTGATATTCTTAAAAAGTGGAGAATGGAGGGACAGGCTAAAGTAAGTTTGGAAAATGTGTCATTGCAATGAACTTCATTGCCATTTTAAGTAGACTCAAATATTTAAATCTTGGTTGAGACTTAGTTAAAAAGTTTTGAACTATTTAATAAGAGTAAAACTTTCTAAAGAATGTAATTAATTTTCTCCTCCCCATAGGTTGTAGTAAAAATACAAACGGAAGAAGAACTAATAGCTCTAGGGAGAACAGCGTCTGACCAAGGTGTATTATCGTATATAGTGCGGGATGCAGGCCGTACCCAGATTGAGGCTGGGAGTCGGACTGTATTGGCCCTGGGGCCGGGAAAGAAATCTGATATCGACATGATTACTGGACACTTGAAACTTTTGTAGGGAGTTTTAGTGGTTTTAGTCAATGATTTTATGTACTGTTCTACAGTTACAATTTTTATGTTTTGATTATGGGGTTAAATTATTCGTAGGATTTTGAAAAACTTGTGACACTTTTATAAAACTTATTTTAAACCTGGCCTAATGAAAACGTCGAGCCGAGCAATTGTTACAAGTTAAGATTTTAATTAGGATACACTCTTAGTGTATACCAATTACTACTACATACCAGGAAAAGGCAGCAAATAGGTACAGTAGCAATCCAATTTAAATTAACCAGGTGGTAGTATAAAAACGGGAATTAGTGCACTTGGTGCGCTGCATTATGCGCTCCATGCTGCTTCCTATATACGGCACGCACTCTGCAGTGTATGCTACTTACAATGTTGAATCATCTCTGTTACTATTGGGTGATGGGTGTGTTTATATAGTTATATTGCTGTGGTGTGCTGATGTTGGTTGATGGTGATGTGTGCTTCTGTTCGTTTTGGTAGTGGGCTGGCTGTTTTTACTGTTTAGTTTCGTCAGGTGAGAAAGGGAGAGAGTGTTTGTTTGTTTGTTGGGGCTTTTAAAGTTTAGTTGCGTTATAAAACATGGTGTAATATTGTTTAGATAACATGGTGATAAGTGATTGTACCTATTGTCGTTACCTAAGCTTATGCAAGTTCATTGCTTCTTTTAAAGATTTGATTTTAATTAAATTTATTAAATTTAGGCTTTTGGTTAGTAGGCTATGATTTGTAGTTTTATTTTATTTTCTAATTGATTTTTCTCGTTTAATCTGTTCAAATGATGAACGTTTTCTTAGCTGGTTAAAAATATTAGGCAGATGTTATTATATATGGTCAAATGTGGCAAGATAAACTAAAAACACTGTTTTAAGTGTTACGCTTTCTCTGAAAAACGTAATATGGGGAATTTATTCGTATATATAATCGTATCTCGTTTGATTTAATTTTACCAAATTCTAAATCCCATCACTGCACCGTACTGGTAATTCTTTTTACCAACATTATCACCAAGTTATTTGAATTACTAACACTGCGTTACGATTTTAGGTAAATGGCAAGTTCTCTAGATATTTCACAATGTACCATATGACTATATGATGGCTGACTTGGTAAGTTGTAATTTGTAATTTGTAATTTCATAGGTCAATTTAACTGCCCAACTTTTTAAAGGTTTTCATTCTCTTATATAAAGCTAGACCCCTGGTATATTCCAGCAACCAATGCTTTACTTTCAGCGTCCTGATAGGCTAATTTATGGCTGCTGTTAGGTAGTTGTGAATTTAAAAATTCAACAACTCAACATTCCCTTAAAAGCTTAAATTCCCTTAAGAACTTAACTCCCCTTAAAAACTTAACTTCCCTCAAAAATGTAACTTTCCCTCAAAAATTCAACAACAGCCGAATATGATTTACACATGTAATTTGAAAGCTCCGGCTAATAAAACATTTCGTATACGAGATTTCAAGTGTAATCTTTACCAGGAAACTATTCACTATTTACCGTTCCCTCCGAGACAACCCCGGTAATTGGAGGTGTATAATGTTTGGTTTTCAAGAGAAATTATGACATGTCTGTATGTCCGAGGCAAGGGTTTCTTTTGAGTTTCATCCCTATATTGTTATTAAGGCATGATCAAGTATTATCTTCTAAACTTGTAATATGTACTTTTCTCACGCCTACTTATTGCAACATGTTAAAATCGGTTACTCATCACGTTGGCAAAGAACAATATTAGCAATATTAAATGGGCGTGGTCTCAAATATTCGAATTTTCAAATTATGGCGACAGAAGTTATAAGGCCTAACATATGTGTATTGTGTAGTAAACTTTGCCCCCCCCCCCTCTGGTCTCCCCTTTTGTTGAACATTTGAAACCTTAACATTCAAGATGTTGCAGCATGTATACCATGTATACACATGTATACACAGCATGTATACCATGTATACACATGTATACACATGTATACACTCTCCGTAGTATTATTGGGGAATAGGGTAAATGTATTAGCCGTGTAGCATAATGATTAATGAACAGTAGTATTCGAGTGGTGGGGATCTTTGCAGCAGCTGTTTAGAAATTATATTTATACCACTGCAGCTTGGGGTAAATTGGTCATGAAATCTTGTTATAATTGGTCTTCAACAATTGGTGCAATTCCTGTGAGACAATATAAGGTGGGCAAAACTCCATCTTTTTATTTAAACCTATCTTGAGGATGAAGATTCATGGTTACTTTACTGTTTTAGGTTCTTATACTTACCAAATATGCTGAAAATTGGGACTATTATTTTCATATTGAACACACCTGCAAAGACTACTCTTAGGAGAAGTTTGTGCGCCCTTTGTCGCAAAAGTCTAACCACTCGATATTATGATTCCTCATATTTGGAGACATTTTGGAGACATTGTCTCCATGGGAATTTCATGGGAATTGGAGGGGAATTAGAGGGGAATTACGTATTATTGATATTTAAGCACTTAAATTAGCTGTATATGGCTTAACTGAGTTCTGGTCTGTCCCTCAAACAAACTAAGACCTTTCACATGCGAAAAGAAGACAAAAAAGGGGGGGGGGGGGGGGGGGGGGGGGGTGGGGAACCATATTTGCCAAAAAAAAATGTCAAAATTTTGTTTTCCATATTTCGCCCTAAAACGTCTCCAATGAGTTTGGTTGGCACCCTGGTTGATCTGGAAGTACGTTACCAGTTATTTGGGGCCTTCAGGGGGGAAAATGGGCCGAAAAATGGGCCGAAAAGGGGCATTTTCGGGTGTTTTCAAATTTGAGATTTCAAAGCCAGATTTTCGGCTTTAGTTGGATGGGACATGCCCAAATTGGTGTGGGTGAGTTTCATAGAGGTAGTACAAGTGTGATCCGTTGCAGAAATCCGGGTTCCCAAGATTCAAAATGACTTGAAAAGATTTTGTAAAAAATTGGAGACATTTTTCGGCCCATTTTCCCCCCTGAAGGCCCCAAATAACTGGTAACGTACTTCCAGATCTACCAGGTTGTCAACTGTAAATGCCCTCCCTGGTTTTCTTTCTTTTTATCTTGGAAATCCGGTTCCCAACGATGTTTTTAGATGAATTTCAGAATTTAAATTTTTGGCATATTCCACCTTCACCATCCTGTTTCACCGGTTCAAAACACTTTCCTGTCATATTACAACTAATAACTTGTAAGATATATCAGTTTTAGGCTGTTTTGGGCGAAATCTGAAATTGAGAAAATGTCTCCATTTTGAGGAATCATTATATGAACCATTCCAAAGGGTCTTGACTTTTTGCCTTTCTAGTGATGAAAATATAATTTTTCAGCGCTTAGTGTGATCGCGCGCGCACATGTGCGCGGTTTTTGAACTTGTAGCGGGATTCAGCTTCTTTGCACTAATAACACGTGAAGGTCCCTTGGGAAAATTTATCAGCCAATCGGTCAATTATCTCAAGATACGAGAAAAGCATCAAATTACACGAAAACTGAGGCAGTTTTTAGTTTTTACCTATAATAGTATCCATGTAATGGGGTTTCTTGAAAGAGGGCATGAACAAAACATAAGTTATTATGTAGATTAGGCTCTGTTTGAACATAATGGATTGATAAAGGATTGTCCATATCTGGCGTAATACGAGAAAACCACAACCTTTAATTAAATTATGTTAATTTTAGTCGGCTGTCTGAATATGATTATGATTTTGGTAGATCAGCTTGTACAGCTATAGTCATTTAGCCTTGAACCTCGATATCTTTTCATTTTGATAGAAGTTTATATTCAAATACAAAAGTCAGACTAATCCTAACTGAATCACATGTAAGAGTGACCTCTTGTCAAAACTTGAGTAGCGCACAGCAAATGAGTTGTGCACAGTTAACGAGTTCGCTGCACTAATGCTACCACTTTGTCAACGCAGTTCTCTCAACACTCTACACGCAATACACACTCACAATACACGCTGATTACTCTACGTTGATATTGAGAAAACACAAAAACTGAGTTTCTCTTTTGCTACTCAGAAAACACTACGAGTTTTTGTTTTGCTACTCAGAAAAATCTCTGAGTTTCTCTTTTGCTACTTGGAAAACACTCCGAGTTTTTTACATTGTCACTCAGAAAACAGGCTCACTTTATACACAGAAGACACACAGTGTACACACTAAACAATACACACTACGTAAAGTAGCATTAAAGCAGGACCCACTAGACCAATGAAACAGCACCCCTTGTATTTCCTAGTATACTCTTGCAAGGTCAGCCTCTGGGTACCTCGCTTTGTTAGATTCTAAGCTTGTTTGCCTCTTTGTTGTAGTTTACCGCAGTGTATATAGTTTAATGTGGTTGACGTGTGCGTTCGGATCTTTTTAATGGGACGTTTTCTGAGTTAGCTGCTTTTTACACCATGCGACTGTTGTTTCTTTGTACGGAATTTTAAGGCTATCTTGTCGAAGTTTCCGTGTCATAATATCTATTGATAAAGTCTGGGTATTTTCAAACGCCAGCTTTCTTGATCTGTTGAAAATTTGGTTGTTCGTTGATTTTTGTTCTTTTACAGAATTCCCGTCGGTTTTTTAGAAGCTAAAGAAAAAGCGAACACAAATTGTAATTGCATAATTGGTTCTGCTTCTCTATGTTTGAGGAATCAAAACTCCATCGTAATCACTACCTCCAGGTAATTATGCAATTATCATGTGATTATGTCCAATTATCCGTCTATTATCCCTGTCACCGCAGTAGGTATTATAAGTAAACAAAAGCTGAACTGGTATGACGGCACTAGCGCCAACCAATCAATCCATTTACAAGTGTGGATGACACAATACTAACAGCAACTGTCCTACACAAATATTACCATGTCAGATGTGCTCAACTACCGTACTCTGCCGTGTTTCATGAGCTCATTATTATTTAGGAGTGCTTATTATTTAGGAGTGCTTATTATTTAGGAGTGCTTATTATTTAGGAGTGCTTATTATTTAGGAGTGCTTATTATTTAGGAGTGCTTATTATTGAGGAGTGCTTATTATTTAGGAGTGCTTATTATTTAGGAGTGCTTATTATTTAGGAGTGCTTATTATTTAGGAGTGCTTATTATTTAGGAGTACTTATTATTGAGGAGTGCTTATTATTTAGGAATGCTTATTATTTAGGAGTGCTTATTATTTAGGAGTGCTTATTATTTAGGAGTGCTTATTATTTAGGAGTGCTTATTATTTAGGAGTGCTTATTATTTAGGATCGCTTATTATTTAGGAGTGCTTATTATTTAGGAGTGCTTATTATTTAGGAGTGCTTATTATTTAGGAGTGCTTATTATTTAGGAGTGCTTATTATTTAGGAGTGCTTATTATTTAGGAGTGCTTATTATTTAGGAGTGCTGTGACCTAATTAATTTCTGTAGTTTTGTGTTTTGGTGTCGTTAACATATGCCAGCCCTTGCTAGAGTAATCCAGTCTATGTTTTGTGATTTGTGTATTATACGCTGGTTTTACTGTTTTAGCAACACACACTTACACATCAGTAACTAGTCAGATTGTTTCTACTGTATATCCGGGTTGTGTTATACGCTGGTTGCCATGGAAACCACGGTAGTCATGGCGACCAATCCTGTCCCTGACTTGGTAACCAATTTCAGTGCATGTTGTCGTGGTGGATTTTGTTGTAATTCCTTCTTGATCAGCCTCTGTTATATTATTGGTCGTTGATTGTAACGAGAATTTGGTTCTTGTTGGGTGGTTTTTATCATGTGATTGAATGGAATCTGATTGGTTGGTTTGTTTCACTTAAC